CGTGTCCCACCAGTGCCCCCGTCCCACCGGTGTACCGGTTTCTCCCTGTGCTCCCGCTTACCCCCGTCCTCCAGGTTGCCCCCCCGTCCTCCCAGTTCTACCGGTCTTCCCGGGGCCCCCGTTCTCCTCGCGCTCCCCTGTCTTCCCAGTGTCCCTGCCCTCCCGGTGCCTCCATCCCCGTCCCCCCGTCCTGCATCCCTGCCCCATCGCTCCGTCCCCAGCCGTGTGGAATTAGGCATTGGAACGGGCTGCCCAGGGAGGTGGTGTGGGGTCACCGTCCCATGAGGTGTTTAAGGGAGGACGGGACGTGGCACTCAGTGCCAGTGACCAGGTGGTGTTCAGAGGTTGGCCTCGATGATCTCAAGAGGTTTTTTTCCAACCTACGCGATTCTGTGAAACCAGCCCCAACGCATCCCTGGTCCAACTGTCCCAATGCCTTGCCCTTTCCTGTGCCAGCACGGATTTTGTGGAGCACTGAAAGAGCTGCCAGACCCTGCTGGGCTGTCCCCACCTCCAGTGGTGCTTTCCCCAACAGCAGGGGTCTGCAGGAGGTTTTGGCAGCCTAGTTAAACCCCCAAAATTTTCCCTTCAGGCTGCTCTTTCTCACTTCCCCCTCCCAGGGACTCAGACTCAGGCAGCAGTGCTGCCTTCCCTAATTGCATTTTTCAGGCAAAGCTGCCGAAGCCGAAATAAGAGAACAGAAGGAAAAGGCCTTTCTAGCACTGGAGGAGACCGAGGGAACCTTTTTTGGAAAATCCTAATGAAATAATTGCGCCGTGTCATCAGATTCGGTGGGGGAATACTCTTGTGGAGGGAAAGAACTGTCTGCAGCTGGCCAAAGTCAACACTCCCCTGTGCAGAAACCAGCAGTCTGGCCTGACGGGCCCAGCACAAGTGAACCCAAACCTCTGAAAAAAAAATTCCTTCCCTGCCCCGAAATTAAAAGCAGAGCAGAACTTTCAGCCGTAGGCGTCTGTGGTTTGCAGCTATGCAGTGCTGGGAACTCCGGAGACTTCCTCAAGGAATTTACATTCCTTTGAAGAAATACTATGAGGCTGTTTGTCTTCGCTGAAAAATGCAGATGGAAAGAAAAAGAACATTAAAAATTTTGACTGAGATTTTTGGAGTCTGAGCAAATGTGCTGGACAGGTGTTTTCTTTCTTTTGATTTAAATGTATCCCCAAAAAAGAGATGCTGGGCTCTGCAAACAATGGGAAAGCTGACCACTCCTGGCTCCAAAATTTCCCATAAAAGCCCTTTATGAAATTAGACGCCTCAGAAGGCACTGGAGCAGTTTCCAGATGAACACAATAATGATTTCAGAGCTGCTGTGCAGCTCCTGGGTGAAAACCTGCACTGCCAACAACCCACTAAGTGCAATTAAGAAGGGAGGGAACTTGTGGCACATTCCAGCAGTCACCTCCAAGGGCTGTGGGTGTCCCCACAGCTGCTCCCGTGGGGATCAGGGTCTGAATGAGAGGGCTCTCAGAGCCTGGGGAGCTGCATGAGGCTGCAGCCAGCCGTGCCTGTGGGATGAGCAGAGCCCCACAGGCTTCTGGAAGTCTTTCTCCTTCTTATTTACTAGCAAAAAACCTCCCACTCTGGCATGGCTTGACACAAAGGACAATTTTTTGTGCCCTTCCAGGCTCTCATTTCTGGACTTGGCAGGTGAATGGAGGTGTTTGAGCAGCCGTGGGGGCTCTGCCCACCCGAGGATCTCCCACAGCAGCAACATCCAGATCTGCAAATCCGCCTGCCAGGATGAAAAGGGAATGTTTAACCAGAATTTTAACTGCTTGATAACTCTCCTACCACTGAGTCACTGTGTACAGGGGCTCTGCTTTTCAGGATGTGTACTCTGCCCTCTTGGAAAGCCTCTCAAACTGTACCGATCTGTGCCATCCCTGCTGACATTGGAAATCTTTTCCTCTGTCTGTACATCGCAGCCAGTTTGTCCACATTATTTACTTTTTAACTGCCCACGCACAGGTGGGACAGGGCAGATAAGAGTCTCTTATCAGGATCCTCCTTCCATAAAGGACTTTCCACCGGGCCAGGAGCGCTCAGCTCGATAAGCACCTGAAGCACAGACACCCCGGGGGCCGTCACCGGGAGAAGCAAATCAAGAGGATCCCACGTTATTTGACAACGATGGAAAGTTATTTCCAACCGATGGGAAATGCCAGGCCGCTCCCTGTGGCACAGAGGAGTTGTGCTCACGGCGAGCTTGTGCCAAGCCCTGGGATTGACGGGAGCCCTGGGAGTGGTCCGGCTCAGGGATGAACGCTGACGGCACATCGCTGGAGTGGCTGAGGTCTGATCAGCTTTTACAGCCCTGCCGCCACCGCCCTCATGGATGGCCGAGCCACGAGCCAAGGAAAGGCTCGTGGAGGCTTGGACATCGTCACTGGGATGCTCGAAATCCCGGCTGTAAATCTGGTGAAAGAAATAAACACCCGTCGCCCAGCGCAGGCTGCTCCTGCCCAAGGGCGGAGGGGGTAGGACCGGCAGGAGAAAAGCAAATGAGTCATTAATTCTCCAAGCGAAAGAAACGGCTCCAGCGTCATGCAGCGCGTGGAAAAAGGCACTACCTATTAATCAGTTTCAAGGGAAAAATTAGGAGGTCTCAGAAATCTCTGCTGCAGCCACAGTCACCAGAAATGATGTGATTATTTAGGGGCACAAGGTCAGTTGTGATGAACCGCCCACATGGGGAGCTCCTGCCGACACTGCTGGAATGGCAGAGGGTGGAAAAGGCAGAAGAGAGGAGCTGCAGGAGCGAGCAAGGCAGACAGAAGGGGTGTCTTTGGGTGAGGTCCCTCCCGGCCACTGGGGTTTGCTGTGTGGCAGCAGTACAGAAAACACCCAGCAGTGAACATCAGTAACCATTTAATTCATTTAAGTGTCACACCCCGACATACAGCCAGAACTACACTTTGGCCCGAAACCATAAAAAGTGGCATTTTATACAGAAAACAAATAATCATCCTTTATTCCCCAGAGATGTAAAACCCAAAGAGCAAACACACACATAGAGACCTGCCAAATCTGATAAACACCCAAGAGCCAGGGGCACAAAACCCTTACAATGAAAGCAGAAAACTGTGGATTTGCTCTCTAAAAGTGGAACTCTGAACACTCAGCCCTGTAGCATTCTTCAAAGGCTGAAACTAAAAATTCATTTCTCCTTTTATTTCCTCTTATCTACAGAATGAAGTGCAGAGAATGAAACAGGGGAAGCCTTTGGGAAAGACCCGCAATGATAACTTCAACATTGTCTTCAGCTATTCATAATTTAGTTAGAGCCTTATCCTTAGAAAAAGCAAAGACAAATTCATCTAAAATAAATTATTCATCCCCCCCTGGGAATAATGAATCTCTGCAAACCCATGTTCCCTCCTCCCTGGCTATGCAAAGTGATAACACATGAGCCATCCTGCACATGCACCTTGAGATAATCTGTCCTTGGGGAACAGCTGTTCAGAGCCCTGACGTGCTTTCGAACCGTTCCTTCTTTTGTCAGCCAGTGTGAAATCAGAAGAGGAAATAAACGAGGCAACAGCAGGTTTGTAAAACTGGAGTGATGAGAAACTGCTGTCCCTCCCCACAGGTGCTGTTACTGCTGCTCTGGAGGGACTGTGCCCTGCAGCTGAGCTCCCACACAGCCAGGGCCAAGCCTGGGGACCCCTGAAAATACACCCTGAAGAGTTTTTTTAACATACTTGTTAGTGCACACCCTGCTGCAGCAGCAGCTGGGTCTGAGCAGCATTACAAAACCTGACTGGTGAGGGTTGCATCTCTGTGGGTTTACTCCTTCTGCTTGAACTCTGTGACCAAATCCTGCCTGTTCACATACACTCACCTGCTGCTGTGCAAAGGGAGGACGGGATTTTACCAACCAGGCACCGAATTTGCCCTCCCATAGCCATGGGGAGCAGCCCATGCTCAAGAGGGCTCATGTCTGTGCATCATGTTTGATGCACAAACAGCATGAGCTCAGGTTTTGCCTTACTCAAGGATTTCTCCTTTCACTTCCTCCCTCATCCCAGTGAAAATCTGGGTTTGGGTGGATGGAGCTCATATGCCTGGAGTCTAATCCCCCCTCCCTGATGTGCAGCAGTGAGTATTACAACCCCTGTGAACACAGCCCGTAATAAATACAGTCCTAAGGCCCAAACTTGCCCTGGTGGGAAACAGACCCTCCCAGGAAGGCATCTGACAGCATGGTCCTTTCCTCACCCAGCAAACTGGTACAGGACTTCTCTTTCCTGCACATGCAAGTGAAGCTTGAGTTAAATAACACAGGCACGACTGGTTGATCTGCCCCTACACCCCCACGGGATTCAATCCTTGGGCATATGCCTTCAAAGTCCTCCAAACAGGGTACAGGGGAATCTGGGAAGAAATCCAGCAGTGCTAACAACAAGGTGATGCCTCCCTGAATGGAGACTCCGTGAGGAAGCATCCACACCCCTGCTCCACACTGGCTTTGTGGCTGGGAGCCAGGAGCTGGGCCCCAGGAAGAGGGGCCTGGGTTATCCAAAATATTTCACCCCTGGTTCTCCTCCTCTCTGCACTGGTGCAAGCTGAAGCTCAGAAGCCGAGGAGGAGAGGAAGGGCCTTGAAGGCTGAGGCTGGTGCAAGGCTCCTGTCCCAGGAAGCAGCTCTGGCTCCCTGTTAGAGCCAACATTTCCAACACCTCTCCTTGCAGGGCAGTGAAGGTGCCAAAGGGGCACACCCCTGCTCAGGACACACCGGGTGGTGTGAGAACAAGGGGCTGGTGCTGTTTGACACTTGCTCCATGAAGGGCTCTTTGTGGAGAGAGGGAGAGATGCCGGATGGGAACTCCCATCAGGGACAGCGGGCGAGCCCAGCACACGCCAGAGAAATAACAAGCAGCTGGAGCCGGGCTCTGCAGATGTCCTGTTTGGCCTTTAAACTGTAACAGCGACCCAGGCTGCCGGCTGGGCTGGCAGGAGGTTTGCCAAGGTGCAGAAGGCATTAATTCAGCCCTTTCCCCTTGTTCTGAAAAGGATTTGACTTGCTGTTTCATGGTGCTTTGTGCGTGCCCGTCCTGGGAGCAGCAGGAAAATCTGCTTCGGGGTTCTCTCCTGGGCATCTCATTGAGCCAGCGGAGCTGCAGATGCCTGGATTCCAGCTGTCAAAGGGTTGGGGTTTTTTGGTGGTGGTGATGGTACGGGGTTGGTTCACCCCTAATAAATAATCTATCAAAGGAACAGCTCTGCAGCAGGGAGTAAGCAATAACACAGAACTCTCAGGCAAAATCCTCAGTGCTGCAGCAGGAGCTCAGCCAGGACAAAAGCTGTGACACCAAGTGTATCACAGCCAGACATTCTCTGAGTCCACCTAAACTGTTTCTGTAGCTCCTGACTTCCAGATACCTCTATTTTCTCCACCACGTGGACCTGACAACGTCCTGGGTTTCGCTCCTGCTAAGCCAAGGACAAACACCTTGGTCAGATTCTTCCTTGGTCTGAAAGCATCACAGTATTCGATGGTGAAGAGATCACAGGGGTGGGGAGTGACGGGACACGGGTTTTCCAGCAGCACACTGTAAATCACAAGCCTGACAAGCTCCCACTCACTGCAGCCCGTCCTGAGCAGCGGAGTTTCCTTCTGCTCGCTCAGAGTCTTTTTTTGATGAGTTTCTCCAGTTTCCGTATCCGAGAGGATTCCTGCTCGGGTGTTGGAGCGCTCAGCGACAGGGAGCCCGTGCTGTCCCCGCCGGGGGGAGGAGCGGGGAGGCGCAGGCGGAAGAGGTCCAGCATGCTGCTCTGCTCACTCCTCTTCAGGCCCTGCAGGAGCAAAGCACAGGGAAGCGAGGAGGTGAGGATTCATTGATCTGGGAGTGGATGTGCGTGGGAGTAGCTGCAGGAGAGCCCATTTCAAAGCTCAACTTTGTTCACCCACCAAGAGCTGCACAAAGACCTCCGGATGATCCTGAGACAACTGAGCTCAGCCCCAGGAGCCAGAGCAGGCAGGAGCATGTGAAGTGAACTGAAAAGCTTTTCTTCAGCAGCTCAGTTTTCTTCAGTAACTCTACTCTACACACTTTCAGATTACAGAAGCCTTACAGTGCTTTTCCCACCCCCAAGCCCCTCTGTATTGCTACTGAAACAAAGTCACCAACGATTTCATTGCAGCATTAAAGGATGAGCAGAAGCTCTGGACAGATTCTAACCTTCATGTCAAGTATCTTCTGGAATGTGTCAGTGCTGCAGTCAGCGAGGAGCTTGATGTAATTGTCAACAAACACAACTGGGGGTTCATGTGGAGCCATCACCACCTGCCAAGGCAAGAAAAAAGAGATCAGACAAATAATATGAGTTAAAGCCAGTGCTCAGTCAACTCGGGCAAGGAGTGACAGCAGGACTGGCTCCTAGAATAAAATGCTTAAGGAGCAAGAAAGAGGCTGCATGTGCTGCTAGTAAGAGAGATAAGGGCGAGTGAGGAGAAGCAGAGTACGGAGCAGGGAGGAGGACAGGTCTCTTTTAGCACAGCAGTGCTTGGAGCCAAGGGCCTGTGCATCATGTTTCAGAGAGCAGCAGGACTTTGTGGCCTGTGGACTGGCAGGCACTGGCATATTGTCAAAGATCATGATTTTATCTTGTTGCATGGGGAAGACAAGCTGGGGAGTCGCTCAGGGGACAAAGGCAGTGCTGGTGGTGACACTCAGAAAGTCCCCAGAGATCAGGCAGCCTGGATGCAGTCCAGACCCTCACTTTGGCTGTGTGTCCCTCTCACTCCCTTCTGCCTGGAGGCAGGACAGGCAGCATGTCACAGGGAATGTGACAACACTGTGGTCACTCCATCCCCAGAGTGGGCCAGAGCTCCTTGCCCTGCAGTCCTGCTGCTGCTGACATGTCACTCGATGGCTGAGCAGGGCCACACACAGCCACTCTGTCCTTTGGGTGCAGCTCCTCTCATACACTCTGGAGAGACTGGGATGCTGTGTGGGAACCCCTCACTGGCATCTGCCGAGGAGGAGCAGCAGAAGTCAGGAAAAAAATCAAAATAGCCTCAAAGCTGGAAAGATGATCCCTCATTGGTGTGCTTTCCTTACATAAGCAGCGAGCTCCACAGAGAACACATCTTTTGATAATGCTGGGCAGCAAAACCATCTTTTTGGGGAAAAATGTGTGTGTGTGTGTGTGTGTGTAAATGCATGCACACACACAGGGCAGAAACAGAACAAGACCAGACTCTTCCCTGTCTCCAAAAACATTTCCATATGTTTCCATTGACCCAGCTCACCCCACAGTGTATTCTGTCACTGAGACATTTCTTTCTTTCCCTGCACTTCAGACCAATGAAACATCACAGCCATGTATACACTTATAAATCCTTAATTTACAGCCCTTGTAAAAATCTTCTGCCAAGATGAAAAGCTGGAACTTCAGAGACCATAGCCAGAGGGGAAGGGAAAGAGCTCTGCGGGATGTGCACGCCCTGACACCCTCCTCCCCCCTTGCATCTGAGCTTTGGGGGGCTCAGCTGAATGAATTTGTTCGTGCCATCCATGAGCTCAGTGATTCTTAGTGATTCTTCTGAGTTAGCTGCTCCAGTACAAGACTGGGCACATAATTGCATTGGTAGTATTGTTGTATGCAAGAGAAGCATATGATGACCAGTGAGCTCTGGGCTCCTGCAAGGAAACCTTCTGCAGAAATACTGGTGGTCCACCAGGAGCAGGCACTTCTGAGGCCTTTTCTTCTCTCCCAAACCCAAGAGATTGGTGCTGGCACCAGCTCCAAATGCTGTGTGTGGGTTACCAAGGCTCAAAGGGATCTATTCAGCCACAACAATTAACCAACCTGCCCCACACGACCCTTCAGCCCCATCCCCACTGATCCCACAGGGCTCTGTGGAGCACCCAGTGCCATGAGGGTATCGCTGCTTGATTTCTAGTTACACTGACACAGAGCCCTCACTTGGGACCAGACGTGCTTTGTGCAGCAGCAGGGCCAGCACGGGATGTCTGACACAGCAATGCCACTGCTGCTGCACAGCCTGGGGACAGCAGCACTCCACAGCCTGCACTCCCTGCCCCAGGCACTCTCTGTACTGCTTTCATCTCCATCTCAATGAAGCCAGTGGGATGCTAAGGGCAGACAAATTAACTCCATTACTTTTCTGATTCACATACAAACTCCAAGGAAAGATCTGTTTCTGTATGTAACAGGCACCGACCTTCTCTGCTCCCATTAGCACAACCAGGGTATTTTTCTTCAGGTCATTTCTATGAAAATTTACACTTATTTTAATGTATTTACTAACATCTCAGTCATCCTACTCCAAAGGCATGAAAGTGGAGAACTCATTTCTGAATTCAGAAGGCAAACTCAGCTGTGACATTACCATGGGCATGGGAGCAAAGCCACACTGAGCAGCAGGGGAACACTGAGAGCTCGGGCTCCTCACCCCCCCTTGCCTTGGCTGCAGTTTACAGGAGGCTCTGGCTGGCAGCTGCTTGTCTTGCCTGACCCCAGGTGCCACTAATTCCCTCACAGGAATGTCTTCACAGCATTGCTGGTGAGCAGGGGACAATCCCATCACCCAGGAGGGTACAACTGTACAGCTTCCGTGGCTTCTCCTGGGACCAAACCTAACTTCTTACTCCAGCACCAGTTGGGAAGGGGAGATTGCTTTGCTTGTTACTTTTTACGAAGACAACACACTGCTTTTGGGTCATTTTCCAGGCACCAGGTCTGGAAAATGAAAAAGGGCTCTGGTGAATACAGTAACTCAGACATGTTTGCACTGGCTGTTGCACTAGACAGTAAACAGGTGACTCAAGCACGGCTTGGCTCCCCTGCGTGATTGGCTCCCCTGCGTGACGGAGTCTGCACAAAGGCCTGGAGTAACCTGAACTCCAGGGCTTGCCCTGAGGCAGACACGGATGCTAGCTCCGATTTTCACAAGCTCCTGAGGGAACCTGGTGCCCCAACTCTCGTAGTAAGCAGAACTTGAGCCCTTGGTTACCTTGAAAAATGAGGATGAAAACTCACAATGTGATACTAAAGGAGAGTGGGGGCAAACCCAAGGCGAGTGAGCCAGTTCTGCAGAACAGCTGGCAGCGCACCCGGACGAGCTCGCATACGTTCATGTGCAATTGCAGATTGCTGCATTCAAGGGAAGGGCCCCCTGGAATTTGCTCGCTCCGATTCCCAGTCCAGCAGTCTGGCTGGCAGGTTATCAAAAGTCTTGAGTTACCTTCAGGATCATTTCAGCCCGAGTCATGCCTTTCACCACTATCTTTGTGTAGCTGGCAGGAGCCTTCCTCACCACTTGGGACCCAATGGAGGGCAGATCCAGGAGAACCATCTTCAGAGAGTGAGTGTCCAGCAGCAGCTGCAATAGTTAATCACACTCTGTTACTCAGGCCCCTTTTACCAAGATCCATTAGCTGCTATAATCCAATATTCTTAAAAGTTTAACACTTCTCACATTGGAAAAAGTCCTGGTATTTGGGACTTTTACCCACGTAACGACACTTTGAGGAGACACGATCACCCGTGGCTGCACATCAGCACCATAGTTGGTTTTAACAGAGCACTGGTCTGCTGACTGGAAATAACTTATGGCAGCCCAACATCTGGCACATCAGGCACGGATTTCCAGTCCTTCCCCTTGACAGTATAAAGTGAAACAATCTTGATTACCTGTAGCTCTATCATGATTTAGATACTGAGGGCAAATGAACTAACACCAAGCTTTCCCCCTGCACCCAGCCACCCACAGTGTCCAGTTTTCTGCATTTACTCAACCACTTGATTGGGGTTTTTTCCTTAAAAACTGTGACACAACAGAGCTACAATGAGAGCTGCTCAGTATCCTGCACTCACCAGTACACTGATACAGCCTGGATGTTGTTTATTACTAGACCAGCAGATAAATAAGCAGCAGCCACGAAAATTGAACCCAGACAGAGCAGCACTGTCTGATGACAAAATGCTGTGGCTAAGGGCTTCTTAGAGCAAAATTACCACAAATAACCGCACTCCTCTGATTGCACAAAGAAGAGACAAGACCAGCGAAGGACAGAAAGCTGAAATCAAGATAGAGGAAGAGCAGCACAATTTATTCACACAGCAGCGAGTGTGAGAGCCCACTGGGCTGTCGGCACACCCAGTGCATTTCCTCAAAAAGGGCCCTCAGGAGCCACTGGAAGCTCTTTCTGGAGGGACACACAACATTATGGGCACTGCAGAAGCCCTGGCAGTCACCACAACAATGTGAACATTTGTGGCCTGGCTTCAGCACATGTGGGAATTCAGTTTGAACACAAAGGACTGAGCCACAGAGGAGGAGAGGCAGGTCAGGCCGGCTCAAATCTGGACCCCGTTATGTGCGGCAGCGTGTCCTTGCTGTGTGCTGCCTGTTTCATGGTTTGCATGAGGAGAACCAATGCAATCAATCTCATCCTGGGAAGCCAGGAAACCACAGCACAAATGAGCAGCTCTATGCACCCCGGGATGCTGGAGCCCGCTGTCAGCTCACGCTGGCATAGCCGGATTCCTGTGTCTACAAGGGATCCCATAGATGGAAGGTATTTCCACGGTTGGGGAATTCATATCTTTCCCACATAAACTCTCTTATGTCTAATAGGAGTTCTGCACACTCTGCAGCCTTTCCCATAGGCACAGCCCTCGCAGGCTCTGTCCCCTCACTCCATTCCCCCCTGTTATCCATTCCAGGTCCCTGGCATCGCTAACTCACTAACAAAGCTCGCTGAGACAGAGAGTTGTTAAGTCAGAGAGACAAACACAAAAAGCAAAACCCCACAGGCATCATTCCCTGCTCTGAACACCTCTGTAAATACCACTCTAATGCCCAGATTTCAACCATGATTATTAACAAACAGCAGGAAAAGCTGTGTGTAGGACAGGGAAAGCCAGGAAAGCTTCTTCCCCAGCAACATTTGCACCAGGGGAGAAACTGGCATGGAAAGATAGTGGTGGGTGACCAAGGGGGTTCAAAAGATGTGAAGGCAAATGGGGTCCTACATGAGAGACAGAGATCAGCTGCTGAGACCTCTGTACCCCTAGCCCCAGAAAGCTATGTCCCACTTCTAATGAGATATATTCACTGGGAATCAGGCTAATAAAAACTTTCCCAGTCTGCTTTGAAGAAGCAAATTGGGCCTGTTATTCCAATACAGGAATGTTAAAACCTTTTAACATTAGACACAAGCCCACTGCTGCTTAATCACTTTAGAAGCTTATTTTAAAAAGTCTCCCTTTAATCACTCTTAGGTTATTGCTCATCACACAAGATGAACAGGCACCGTGCTTCACTCATTTGCTTTCCATTAAGGAAGAGGAAGGTTTTGATGTAAAGCTCCTGTTTCATTTTGCAGACACACACTGCTCAGAACCATCTTTGATGCCTAAAACCCAAGCAGCTTTGAAGGCACTGATTTGAAGTTCATGGCAGTCCCATTAGGGATGATTCTGCTTTCTTTTCTTTTTTTTTTTTTTTCCTTAGCCCACAGGGAAGCAGTTGCATATGCAGGGGACAGATGAAACCCTGCCTCTCCCAAACCTCACCCCCACAGAGAAGCAGGATCCCAGTCCATAGGCAGGAGTGGGAGATGAAGAGTCCCTGCCTCAATTTCTTGAACTCAAAAGCCATAAAACATGACAGCTAAAGCACCTACTTGTTCTTACCTGTTCTGCACCCACCATGCTGATAGGTTTGCATTTGAAGAGATGGTTAATGAACTTGGGAATGAAGGAGCTGCAGAGGAGAGATACAAAAGGACACAATTACATAAGAGTATTTGCAGTCACAGAGTCTTCTGTGGTTTGGTAAAACCAAACCAGGATGGCTTCCACAGAGACACTCCAAGTGCCTGGTTCCCAAGTTAATTCCACACACATTAGGTACACTAAATAAAAAAATTCCAAACCCTAGGCACAATTCTTTTGCTTCAATCCCTACTAATCTCAAAGTTAATTGAGAAGTTGCACACATACTCTAGGTAAAGAAATTGCTATAAACTACATAAGAAGCATTACAGTACAAGGTCAAGAACAAGCAAACAAACTATTGTCCATAATAAAAGCAGCAACATGTCAGGATTAGCATCACTATTCACAAGTGGAAGTATCTTGACTGTATCCAGAACCTACATTTTACTGCATATAAGTAATTCCACAACATGCATATTACAGACTGAACTTGAGGTCCAGCCAAAGCTGGAGGTCTGCTGGGCCCTGGACACTCACACACAGGCACTTGTCCAGGAAGCTCCTGGCCAACACAATCAAGACAAGAAAAAGTTTTGTGGAAAGGAAAACACCATTACCATGTTTTACTGACATGGACTTCAGACTCAGAAAAATGACTGTGGTGCATTTACCCAACCAGGGAGAGCTTGGCAAGGATGGAAGCCCAATATCCACCACATGGTACTCCAGAGCATCAGCTTTGGTTTTAGTTTTTTTGCATCTTGATTTTAGGTTTTGAGGTGGAGTTTCATTCCTCAGTGGAGAAGCAGATACTCCCTTCCAGCAGAAGCACTGGCTGAGCACCTGCAGGACAAGCTCCTGCCCACCTACTCCACCAAGGAGCAGCACCAGGAAAACTCAGGAGCTGAACAAGAGGAGAGGGGTCAGCATGAGAGACACAACCTCTGTCAGGACCACACCACTCTGGCTTGTCTTCCTCCTGCTGCCTTGTTTTTAATGTACTCTGCTTCTTTCACATGTCCTCCTTTGGCTGAATGCCTACAGGGCTCACGTTTCCAGGACCTTGTCCGTGACCTGGTGGCACATCTCAGACTTTAATGGCTCAGTCCTAAGCTCACATCAGTCAGTCTGTTTTCTGTCCCTTTGAATGAGGCAATGTTCATGTTGATGATGATCTAAATTCAGCATGGCTTCCCCCATGCATCTGTTAAGCTATTTGTTTCCTCCTCACAAAGCAAGGAGCACGAACAGCATCTTGTTTGTCCCGCCACCTGTTTTCCAAGCCAGGACATTAATTTTTTGCCCTTTCTCATGGAAGAATGACAGAAGTGTAACTCAGGCAGGGAACATGCCAAGCTACTGAAATGGTACAAGGAAGAGCCCATCCAAGCAAAGGCTTCTTCCCTTCCCCTTCCCTCAGACAGTCACTACCTCTCTCAGTGAATCATTTTATCCTGGAGAGGTGTCAAGGAGAACAATTTCAAACTACTGTTGAGAACCAGCTACTGGCCTGCCTCAAACAGCTTTGAATTTGGCCACGACAGAAACAACCTTGGCAACAAAATACAAAGAGGAGAAGGAAAACAAGCCCTGTCTCCTCTTGCACAAAAGCATTACAGTGGAAATTTAACCTGTTTTAAAAGCCCATTTTTCAGGTGTATAAATAATTCCCAGAGGGCAATTAGAGAGTGCTGAGCACAGCTGGAGCTTAGGTGATCCTAGAAAATGATCCATTGCCAGCAGCTCTGGATGCAGCAGTCGCTACTAGCAGAACAGTGCAAGAAATAAATTGTACCTTTGATCTTGCAGGTAGGTCCAACTGTCCCTCCCTCTGCAAGGTCAGGCATGGAGCTAAAGCCCACCTTGGGTAGGAGAAACAGGGTGAGCCTTTCCTTCTGCAGGGGGGTAGATCGGCAGCCAAAGGACCCCCTCCTCTCTTTTTTTTTAATCTTCCTTTCTACATAACCACACAGTCTCATATAGAGAGCACTCTGTCTTCCATGAAACAATTCCCAGGCCCCTTTGGATGGCCACCCACAAGCAGTGCAGAGGGGTAAAGCGGCCTTCCATCCCCACATGCCTGTTATTTCACGCTGCCTTATTGGAAACAGCTTCCCAATTCCAGCAGGACAGACAAGACAAACCATTAAGAGCCAAAGGCAGCTCTGGATTTTTTTTCCCCCCTTTTTCTTTAAGTTTTTTGACTAGCAGGGACCATCAAGAGCAGTTGCACTTAACAGAAAAATGCACTTGAGCCTCTTGCCTTGGCTGGACTCGATGCCTGGCGCTCTCAGGCAATCCTGATGTGAATAATACGTGCATGTTCAGTGCTAATGCTCTGCACGAGGTTTGTGCTCTGAATGCCTTTACTCCCTGCACATTCACAGCTAGACTGGATGCCAGAATTCATTTACAGTTTCAGCTATAAAATTGAACCCAGCAAACCCTCCATAGAAGCAGACAAGTCCCCAGTGTAATAATAAAGCATTGCAAGGCAGATGAGGAACCTAAAGCACAGAAACCACAGCATCTGAGAGGCTCCCATCCAACAGGAGTGGCTCTGCCAAAGCCTGCGTTTTCCTAATCCCCTGCAATGATGATGCATCAAACACAATGCCCTGCTGAACGAGGCAGACAGACATGCAACCACAGTCTGTCTGTCTGTCCGACAGGAGATGGACAGGACATCATTCAAAGCATTCTGGTGTCACTGAGTCACTGCAGCTGAGGCGAGTTTTGCTTTATGCCACCCTCCAAGATGGTGACCAGGCTGAGCTCAGCCCTGAAACCTCCAGGAGCCTCCTCAACACGACCTTCTTCCACCAAACTCCTCTCACTTTTTAGGCTGGAGCACCTGGAAGGACCCTGCTGCATCACCCACCACGCTTGGCCGTTGGTAACGGAGGAGGTGCACCTCTGGCGAGGGGGAGAGCTTGTTTGCTTTTCCTGTCTCTCAGTTCTAATCTCTTCCTCATTGAGGTCAGGTCACAGACTTCCCAAACACATCCCAGCGTAGCAGCCGCGGCTCCACTGCTGTGGTTTTTGATTTCAAAGGAGAAGGTGCAGTGAGAGCAGAGCCCCCCACCCTGCCTGCAGTGCCTCCCAGGGAGCCGACTGCTGCTCGCCATCCCGAGGGGGCGAGGGCTGCACACGGGTCAAAACAAAGCAAAAATGACAAATTAGGTTAGAGGATTGATGCAATTTCTGATGGCCATTTTTCTTCTTTCTAGACTTGGCTCGGATCCCGCAGTTTTAAATTTAGTGACTTTAGCTGCCTTCTCCCCTGTGGTCCTGTAACTCAACACTCCCGCTTTATACAATCCATTAGAGCTGAGAAGTGGCAGCTCACAAAGGCACAGGCATTAACATATGGAGAGGCATAGTGCTTGTTAAAAGGATTTTTGGTGGTGTGGGGCACACAAAAGGCCAGGTATTTAAAGTGGGCAGGCCAGCATATTCCCTAAGAATTCAGGGCCTCAAAAAATACAAATATTTGTATTAAAATGGCAAAAGCGTTTTGAGGAGATTGGTGCTCCCTTATCACTGGGCAAGTTCTCCTTAACACCAAGTTGTACAGATCCAGCAAAAATAATCTTTCTTTCCACACCTGATCCATGGCACAGTGAGTTCAGTTCTGTTGTCTTAATTTTAATGTGCTGTAGATCAGAGCTGTAGTTGCCTTAAAAAAGGTTTTGAAGAGGAGCAGTGGTTTCTGTGCTCATGGAACAAGCTGTGATTAAGGCACTCAGATAGGAACCTCTCTCAAATGGGAGAGCTGGGTGTTTCATCTGGAGTTTACTTGGTATGTGCTGAGCAATAAAGTTAAAAGGGAGGCAACTAAGCTGAGGTATTAAGAGTGTGCTGTGAACAGCTGAGTAAATGGGGTTTTTTATTTACCACCGCGTGATATAAAATTCAAGTGTAACCACACAGAAGGAGTTCATGCAATAAATTTTCACTGAGACAGCATTTCAAACAGTGATTATGGGCAACGTCATAATATGATTTATCAGTAACTGCTCCTTAATGCAAACTAATGAGTACCTCGAGACAGAGAGGGGGGATGAAACTCTCAGGCCAGCCTCCCTGCTGTGAAAGCTCACAGTTCCCAGGAGAGCTGCTGCATCCCGCCCTGCTGAGGCTCCAGTCTCAAACCCACACAGTAACTGCCAGGCCACCCAGCTTATTTCAGGGTGATTACCTTATTACAGATGAATGAAACGTTAAGGTATTTTAGAGTGACACATGACACGCACGCCACTGCTCACAAGTCAACCGGCGCAGTCACATGCGACACCAAAAGCAGCAGCTACAACTGGCAGAGTCCCCCCGAGGGTTTTTCTTGGGGTGTTGCCATGTGAAGCTCAGCTGGCCACAGGCAAGCAGAGAAGAGCTCAAAGTATCTTCCCAAAGAACCAAATTTTTGTTTCAGACAGTTTGGATATCCAAGAGATGCTGGAGAGCTGCATCCTGAATCCAGAAGCATTTCTGTCTCATCTGCTCAACTTTAAGTGACTTGCCAGGAAGACACTCTAATACCCCTCAAAATTTAAATGTGTATTTCCCCTCCTTACTGAGCTATTTTTGCACAGAAAAGCAGCTTTTAGACTATGAAGGTAGAACATACTCCTCACACATGCCCTCCTTACAGTGCTATTACAAATGTTATTTCGAGGTAAATGATGCACCAAACTTCTCAGTACCTGGAAGCCCCACAGCTGCTTATTTCTGGAAGAAAAGTAGGTTCCCACAAGAAGAGTCATGTATATGGTCAGATATTCAAAGTTTTTCAAAGATGTCCAACCCAAACCCTTCTGAACTTGGCAAACACCAGACTGTGACCATCACGCTATTTCACGGGATGGTTTAGGCACATAAGGAAGAGCCAGTGTATATCTGGCTCCTCAAATATCTCAGAAAACCTGCCTGAGCAGGAACCTTGAGACCAGAAATTGAAGTCTCTTTGAACCTTGCCAGCAGCTGTTGGTGTTTGGTGCCCTATCCCACCTCCCTCTGGGCTTTCCTTGGATGGAGGGTCTTCACCCAGACACTGACAGCCACGGACGCTACAGAACAGTGAGAACCAGAGACCTCAACAAATTGGGCCATGTTGGTAACTTACTTTGCAAATTTTATACAGAACTGAGTGAAATACTTTCTCGTGGAGGCCAGGTTGTCACGGATGATGGGGACGTTCTGCTTGATGTGGAGAATCACTGAGGTGACATAAGGACTCTGGTCACCGACGTGTTCCACGTTCTGCCACTGCATCTGCACAAAGGGGAAAAAACAACCAAAATGACTGTTTAATTCATTAACATTCAAGCAATAGGTAAGGAAAACTGTACAAACTTCCTGCCAGAAGATCTCTAAGGAATCATTAAGAGACTGCCCCTGCAATTCACCACCAAGGTCAAGTTCTTCGTCACTACACTGATTGGGCAAAACCCTTCCAAAACAAGACACAAAGAAAACCCAGAACAGTCTTTTTTTTTTTTTTTGCACCAGAGAACAGAGAGATTGTAACCAGTAACCTACACGAACAGGGACCACAAGGCTTAAAAAAGCTTTTGGAGCACACCAGACTGCTTTAATATTTAACAGTTTCCAGTTTGCCGGGATGAAGTGCCCATATAAATCCAGATTACAGGCATTTAAGAAAATATCTGCAAGCTTGCAAAGTCTGGAATCCTGTATGGCAGCCAAGACTTTAATGCTGGTGAGACTGATGACAGATAGATGGAAGAGGTAGAAATAGTCTTAAAGTCCAAAGCACTGTAAACCAGCATAGCTCACTGAAAACACTGCTGGGTGTACAAGCCAGGATGCCCAACTTCGGCTCTTCCAAATACATGTAAAAATACAAAACAAGAAGAGTTACTCAACCTCCCATTTTGTTTTCATTTATTGTCAGCAGAACTGCAACAGAACAGCCCCCGGGAGCCACATGTGTGGCTCACTTGACTTTCCCTGAGCCTTGTTTGCAGTACACAGGGTACTCCCTCTGTAAGTCATGTGGAAAACAAAAAAAACCAAGAGGCAACTGGGTATGGCCTGGCCAAGTATCATGTGTATAACAGTGTCTCACTGAGGAACATGAACATCCAGAAAAGCACACTCAGTTCTGCTACTGCTCAGACACTAGGCACTCTGTAATGTTCTCCCAATAACTGGAGATCTCTTCCTCATGCTGGAGCTGAGACAGTAGGAAAACACATAGGAAATTAGGAGAGGAAACTGGGCACATGTGGAAGATGAGCTTCTTTTTTTTTGAGGGGCTGTTTGACCTCAAACTTGCTTTCTCAAGTTCTGGATTATGCATATAAAGTTTTTTTTATTCCTGGTTTTAATTTAACTTAATATGGCTACTCTGCCCCCTGCAACTCAGCTGACTCAATTCCATCCAAACAACATGCGACTTGGTGGGAAAGAGAAGCCAAATTCTTTGCAAAACCACAGTGTCTGAGTCTACACATGTCCTACCAAAGCTGTCTGTATTTAAACCAAACCAACCAACCCCCAACCTGCTTATCTCACATCAGCTGGGGAGCTACAAGGGATATCTTTTGCATCACCTGCTTCACAGGTTTTCATAGCATCACAGAATATCCTGAGTTGGAAAGGCCCCACAAGGATCATCGAGTCCAACCTCTGGCCCTGCATGGGACACCCCAACAATCCCACCCTGTCCCTGAGAGCATTGTCCAAACACTCCTGGAGCTGTGGCAGCCCTGGGGCCGTGACCACTGCCCTGGGGAGCCTGTTCAGTGTCCAGCCACTGTCTGGAGGAAGAACTTTTTCCTGAGATCCAACCTAACCCTTCCCCGACACAGCTCCAGACATTCCCTCAGGTCCTGCCATGGGTGACCAGAGACAACTGCTTTTCTACTCCTCATGGTTCTGGTCATATCCAAAAAAAAGTACTTTGTGCCTTTCTTCCTGATGGACTCACACATTCCCAGCACTGGCCCTTCTTGACAGACAGTGATCCTCAACCAACACACCATCCCCATTTGAGTGGGAATGGCCAGAAAGTGGGAAGGGACTGCTGAGTTGAATTATTACACTGACAATAAAACAGTAGCTTTTTCATTTTGTCAGTCTTCATTCCAAAAGCAATACTTTACAACCAAACCTTTAAAGCATGAAGAGTAAAAATAATCCTTTGTGTGTGTGTGTGTATGTGGGCGTGTTTCACCCAAAAAAAAGCACCCAGTAGCTGCAGTGAAAGAAATAGCACACATACTGAAAAGTCATCAGAAGAAATATGAGCCCAATTCTGCTGGTATAGCTTTGTTCCTGTCCTTTTAAATTTATTCCTCTTTTTCCCTCATCCTATGTTTTTCTTGGGATATCCACACAGTTTACATACACAAACTGAAAATGAGTCCAAAGAACAGGAGCATCGAGGACTTGCTGAAAGGCACCTGCACACTGTGAGGACATAGTGCCTGCAAGGGCAGGACCTGGGTTTAAAGTCCTGGTGCCACCTTCAGAGGTGGTTCTCACAACAAAAACACAGCTCTGCCATGGCTTTAGGGCTCCTTCTCAAAAAAGGGAGGAGAAAAGAGAAACCCTGAGCAAAACTCGGGGGGTTTGGCATTCAGCAAGAGTTGTGCCACCTTCTGGGAAAGGTGAAGGCTCAAGAGCACTCCTGGCTCTGCCTGGCTGTGGGTTCCCATGTCCCTGTGCCCACAAAGACCTGGAAGAGCCAACTCAGGTCCCTCCTCCTTGTCCAGCACTGATATGGGTCTCCAGCAGAGGGGCTGCTTCATCACTGAGTCTCCAAGTGTCCCCATTCCCAGTAGCAACCCACTGCCAGTTTATCCTTACAGGCTCCAGACTTACAGGGCCCTTACAGGGCACAGGAGCACCCGTAACCCGGCCAGCACCTGCTCCCTTGACCTTGTGTTGCTCCCACAGGAAGAGGTGGGAGGGGAGAGGAAAGCCGGTGGGAACTGCCAGGAGCAGATATCGCTGCCCCCCCTCCGTTCTCTGACACGAGCTGGGCTTTGCACTGTCCCGTTCTGCGCCGTGTTTGAGGGCTAGAACGCTCTCCTGGGGACTTTTAATTAGCAGCTGGCAGCTCTGATTGCTCTGCTCTCGGGGTTTTCCATGTGTGTATTGGAGAAATGATTAAAGCTCCGTGTTCAAGCGCTTGCTGTTGTCCACTCAGCTGTAAGGAAGCCGGGAATTGCAGCTGTGCCAAAAGGTTTTAGCAAAATATAAAAAGCCAGCAAGCGATGGACATGAGTCACTAAAATGTCCCCCAGTCCCACTTACAAGCACAGTTTTACACATAAATCGATGCTTAATTCAGCAATTAAATCAAGCCTTATCCAGTGCAACCCATAAACTTAACTGGGGCAAAAATAACCCGTGCAGACTAGCAGTTCCCTCATCCCAACAATTAAAAATGCAGCAAACCAGGCAATGTAAGTGCCTGTTACTGATCAGTACAACACGTTCACAGTACTTTGTTGTCCAGAATATCACAACAGGGGTTTAGGGCAAATTCTTCTCCCACTCACATCCCAGCTCCCCTGTCCTACAGCCATGTTTAATCATTCTACACCTGCTGTAAAGTTTGAGTAAAGATTATCACCTACAAATTTTGTAATATGGGGCCTTCTCGTAATTTACCATTTCTTCTAGAACACACAAGGTAGAGAATCATGGAAACTGAGCACCATTCCCAGCTGAAAGCAATATTCCCGATGCCGTTTGCTGTGTTAAATCTCTCAAAGTGGCCTGCAGCCAAAGTGGATTGAGAGGTTTAAGTATTTCATAATTTACCTCTATAGTTCCTGAACATTTTTGCAAGGGAAAAAAAAAACAAAAGCCAGACTCCAACAAAGGACCAGGAATGTTCAATCCTGAAGGACATCAGAGTGAAGTAAATGAAAAGAAGCTAAACAAAGGAAGAGCCCTAACAGAGAAGGATCTTGAGATAGCAAAATTGGAATGGATCATCCACAGAGCCTTTATTCCTCTAACAGAGACTGAAATTTTACATTTGCAAATACTAACTCTGCATTTAAATATGCATTTCTTATTCAAATGTTAGAGTAATAACCCAGCCCCGAAGGGAAGAGGAGGGTGAAGGAAAAACCTCTTGCACCAAATCCAGGTCTAATAAAAAAATCACATAAAAGCACCTCTGTCTGATGCAAATAGTGGAGTGTGTGCACAAGTGACAAGTATTTATTTAGCTAATTTCATAACACTTAACTTGTTTATATATCATCAGTCCCATCACATGTGCTGCATTTTACCAGTGTTCCAAAGACAAAAATAAATGGCCTACCAGCTGCTGCTTTCTCAAGGTTGTGGTTTACTTGGGTATAAACACCCAGAGCTAAGTGATTCAAATATTACTACACCCTGTAGGTTCAGGAGATCTGAGGAGCTGACACGGCACACCTGAAGTGCCGAGCCCTTCCTAACGGTGTTATTTTCCTGGGCAAAAAAATCCTCTTTCCATTTGGAACCTGTACAAGCTCTATTACCAGCTGCATTCCACTTCAAATATTAGCTGGGGGTGGCTGGGCTAGTTACAGCTGGAATACATCATAAAGCAGAAAGCTATTAAAATTCATGGCAGTGAGACAGTGTGTTGATCCTACAAAAATGGAGCTCTATGTTTAATATTTCTAATTAAAAAAAAATAGTTCAATCCACTTTTGTTGTCTTCACCTCTGTCTAAAGCAGTCTGGGTTTTCACAATACTTTGGCAAGAACACACAGCTCTGCATTTCAAACATATAAAAGCCAGCAGTGTAACTGCAACAAAATCCTTAAGCTCCAATCATAGGGGCCTCTCCAGGAATGGCTCCATATGTCCTTGAGAGGATCACAGAAGCAATAAGGCTCAATCTCAATTCCATATCACCTTTTGAGTACCTCCATTTAACAGCCACAAACAAGTAAAACTCCTCTTGCCAAAGAAGACAAAGAGGAGAGCAAATGTGAAGGTGTATTTGAAATTTTACGCTAACAAAAGTTCCCCCAATTTGAAATGCTCTCACTGGCATCAGGAGTGGAAAGAGAAAGCCTTATGTATTTACTGAATGTATTTCACTGTCTGTGTGTTTTAATGTGCTGCAAAAACCTTAAAGCTCTATTCTGAATAATAAGAGGGTTTGGAGTGAGGGATATATTTATAAATACAGCAACTGCTGCTCTCAGGAGCAAGAAATCAATATATGGTTAAATCTCAAGGCAGCCTAAAAGGATATATCAATAATGAAATCAAGCAATCAAGGCACACAAGAACTCCACATGGATCTTAAGGCAACCTCTTCCCAAAAATCCCCCCCCTACCTTGCTCATAGCAGTCAGGGCAGGGTCACAGGCTGCATCCAGGTCCTGCACTAACAGCTGGATGCTGTTGGAGATCACACTGCAAAAAAAATAAAAAAAAAAATCAGGAGTTTTAGAATCATATTGAGTAACTGAGTGCCAGAACTGGAGCATTTGACTGTGAAAGGGAAATCATCTACTGGCTGACAGTAGCACTGTGATGTGAACACACATGGCTACAACATGTACTGAAAAGAAGCTGGAAGTTCTGCAGGGAGCTACAGGATGGGCTTCAGTGCAGAGAGGATGTTTTTACAGTTGACCTTTCTCTGTTTTGACACGTAAAAGGGGCTGGGTATCAGAGGTGACAGATGAGGAAAAGGAGAAACCCCTGAGTACCAAGACCAGACTGGGATTCAGCTTCAAATTTAATCTAGTCTGCATAACACCAACATTTTATTGTCTCTCCATTTATTCACAGTCAATATTCTACTGCTTACAGGAACTTGCAAAGAGGATTTTAAAAATTACATCTGTGTGAGTTCTGTGTCTCCCAAGTGTGAAGATGAAGGCAGATGTCTTATTTACACTATGTCTAGGACTGCAGCCATCCATTGTTTGAGTTTCTGAGACATATACCAGACTAAAGGACACATTAGTCAAACACATTTCTCTCATTTCCCTCCATGCCCCTTTATTCTTTTTTAAACAGCGTGATATTGCTTAGAGACATATTTAATGCCACCATATTACGATGTGCATAAAGGTGCAACTGATCCTAAAACAACAGCCAAGAAGCAGCAGCAGCTCAGACCACCCTGATGGGCACTGAACCAGCACTCACACTGCAGACAGCTTCTGCTAGAAGCAATAACTGACTGTGTTTCACTAAGTGCAGTTTTTAAAAACAGTGTAAACTTTAAATCTGCCACAGATGCCTGTTTACAACCTCAGGATTATATTTGCAAGAACTGGATTTTACTTTTGCTCGTTCTCATGATGGTAGCACAGATGAGAACCACAGAACTGTGAGAAATCTGACCAATGCTTCTTCAAACCATCTTTCCTCCCCCTCATTGTCTTTGTGAAGTTCTGGATGCTACTCACTGTTCAAAATACTTTTTTAAGTGTCCACCTCCTCACTGAGACATGGTTCTCACCCACACTTAATTCTGATTTGTGTCTTGTTCTTCACCATGACCCACAAAGTTTGCCTGTTCTCTTTCTTACAGCTACAGCACATAACTGGAACAGGATGCAAAGTAAAAGACTTCCTTCAAAGCAATTAATTTGTTTGTAAAGGCAAACTCACCCAAAATCAGCTGGAAAAATTAGTATGGGAGACAAAGTGACTACTGGCTTCAAGTTACACGATCTAAAACTTGCATTGGGTTAAAAAAAGCCTGTGACTGTTTCTGCTGGTGCCACTGCTTCTGCTGGGCACTACAGAATTTACTCCCTTGGGGGATTCCACCAGCCCGAGCAATGCCAAGGGAGCCAGACTGAAATAACCATCCTGTGGGCACAGCTGACTCCTGCAGGGCACCTGCTGCCACTGACTGGGAGGGAAGAGTTGTGGTTCAGCACCAAAGTGACACACAACGCTCTGAGTGGATGGAAAATGACTCCATCACTAGTGTGTCAGGAGTCACCAAGTGCAAGCTCTCACCTAAAAACTACAAGTTTGCAAACAGAGAGAGAACCCCATTTGCCTGCTCTTGAAAATAAACACCTGCTGTGGAGGGGTAACGGTGCAGCAAGAAGGGTGTTGCAAACACAAAGGATCATGACATGCTGTGAGGGCTTGGATCCTGGTTCTGCAAGAAGACACTTCAAATCCTTACCCCAGGCAGCACATGAAGTACTTCAGCAGCAGTGAGTGACTCCTCAGCAATCCCTGACACGCACAGAAGCTGATGGATTGGGAAGCTGAGCCATGGAGGAGCAGTACAGTCCTAGTACAGTAAGTTCTCATTACATAAGTCCAACGCTTCAGGCCTTCAGAGGATCTCTGAGTGCTGCCCACAATCTCACAACAGATCATCAGGGCAGGAGGTGGGAATGACAGATTTCTGGATTTACATAACTTTTCTTCTGCTGAACTTCAAGAAGAGCTCATCAGTTTTCCCATATTTCCTAAAGAAACTTCTTTGTCACCCCCCACCTTTCTACACATTTTAGGTGGTTCTGCACTCGCCTCCATGAAAGAAGAAACACTTTCCAGGATGCATAAACAGTTTTATCGCTTGCTTTATGGCTGTGCCTAACAAGACAACAAATCCCAAAAGAGACAACTTGTTTGATGCTGAATGAGTGAACGCCAGAGAGGTTTATAGCTATGACTTACACTGACAGAAGGCTGGACAAAGCACTACACTGGAACAGAATGAAAGTCAATTAAAAAGCCTTTCTTACAAGATACATCAGCCCTGTCAGTCTGACTTTAAAGCTGTCCAAAACAGCAAACGTGAACTATATATTAAATAATTTCCTAGACACATCATATTGGCTGCCTGTGCCCAAACACCTCGTGAGGCAGCCACTGGGAACCGAGGAACGACTCGAGGCTGCTGGTTCCTGCTGGCAAAAGTCACCCTCCACTTGTCCATGTTAAGAAAATCCCATCACATGGAACATTTTATTTCTACTCCCCTGCTACCTTGCTTGCTTTGGCTTAGTGGACACAGCAGCCCCAGCTTTTGGTCAGGGATTCACCCTTAAAAAGGTCTGAGAAGTATCCGAAGGGAAGGGAGTCTCTGCAGCCTGGAATGGAGCCTGAGACCATGTGAAAAACCTGGATGGAGATTCAGTGGGATCCTGTCCACTGCAGCAGGAGAGGAGGAATCACAGGAAGGAAGTCTTCTAAAAAAAGTATCTTACTGCTCTCTGGCCTGAATCTTAAATTTTAGGGAGAGAGCTGCTGATAGGGATTATTTTCCCAGCTTTGCCAGGATTTTCTTTTGTTTGATATGAGGCAAAACAACTTTTTTTTTTTTTTTTTGCCTCAATTTTCTTCTCTCAAAAAATATTCAATCTATCTGTCAGTGGTGGAGAGGAAAGGATGTTTGAGCGGAATATTCTTAGCATCGTTATGTGAAAAGTTATTTTAATGAATGATAATCTTCTCTCAATTATAATCCCCAAATATAAGATTGGATCAGTCTTTTATGTCATCTGAAATGGGGTTTGATCATACTGACAAGGCTGCTGATTAACAGGGGGAAGTTAGAGCAGGAAGGAATGTACTGAAATAGCTTCCTTTCTTGAAATGTAACAGCCACCTCGCAGAGCTGCCAAGATGCAAATGATGTTTCAAATGGAAACTCACTGTTTCCTTTCCCTTTTCCAGTGCTCTTGTTCCTTTGGCTTGGATGATGGGGAACAACTAAAGCCTGTACTACTGCTGCTCTTGGACAGCCCAAGGATGACCATCCCTTCACCAGGGAAATGCCTGTGCCCAGGGCTGTACATCTGGGTGGATCCTATGACACTGGGATCTCGGGATTGTATTACTCCAGCACCATCTGGCTGACAAACAGGGATGTTTGATATGTTCTGGGAGGATGCATCTGCTGAACATACATGCTGAAAGTGTCCATCTCTCCCGTCAGGTTGATTCTCTCCACTAGACTTGCATCCACTTTTTCTTTGAGTTTCTCTTCCAACTGTTAGGAAACAAAACAAGCAACAGAGAGATCAGATTTCTTACTTGAAATGACCACTCTTGAAAACTTATGTCCTGGAAAAGTCAGCTTGTTAAAACCTCATCTGTGTCCAGACTATATCCAAAACTCAGCCAGTGACACTGGAAATCTCTCCTTCTTGGCATTCCAGACCTGTTGATCAGCCAGGGCTGTGGTGGCTCTGTGTCCTCAAAGAATTAAACCTCCAAGGTCAAAAATGTAACTCTAGTATGACATGACACCATACTGGCTTAACACCGTGGCATCTGTCCTGCTAATAAAGATGTTTTTTCAACACACTGTCTGTGCCCAAACTGCAGAGGAGGAGGACTGCCAGACCTAGTGGTGGAGAGGCCTTGATACAGCCAAACATCACAGTTCATCTCCTGACCTGTGGCATTTTGGAAGCACCTGAAGGTAACAAGCAATGAGGCTGCAAATCATATCAGCATAAATACCTCTTCTCTTCACTCCACCTTCCCCCAATATTTCATGCAAGTGTTTTCCCAAACCCATTTAGAATTATTGTTGTTCTTGCTTTTATAAAAGGGAGATGATGAACCCAGAGTCTTCTTCTAAAAAAATTTGGTCCCCAATCCAAAACGAATTAGGTAACAAGAATAGAAGGACTGAACCCAAAACCAACACTGCAAAGCAGGATTAGAAGCAAATTACTTTCCTCAGGTAGGAACAGCACAATCAATACTTTTCTTTCTTTGAAATATAGATTTAATAATGTAGAGCTCAATAATCCATGTGGGGCTGACTGTGCTATGGATATTTCAGTACTTTTGACTCTCCCAGCCTCCACAGCAGCACAGAATATCATGGCAGAAGAGGGGCTGCTGCTGGGTGCCACCTCAGAGGTGCTGCAGAGGAAACCTCACCTGCTGGGTGGTGGCCAAGCAATACTCTGCAGTACTTAGGATGCTGCAAATGAGGCAGAGTTCTTCTAAAGTAAACTTTGCCACTTCAGAGCCTTCTTTTTCTTTCAGCAAACTAGTGATGGTGAGCCCACCGCTGCTGCTGGTTGTCCTGGGAAAAAAAACCAAACAAAACAGACAAAACCTGTAAGGTTTTCGGTGTACAGACACACATAGGGCAAAATTACTGCTAGATTTTAATGCCATAAAAAGCCTTTATGACCACAAAGCCCAACACCCGGTGCAAGACAGGTCAGTGTCATCCTACATCAAACCCACAACTGCTATTTTGGTGAAGGAATATCTTTTAGAAAGACAAACAGAGCCTTGTATCAAGTGTCCAGGCAAAGGACAGCTCACTCATTCACAACAAGGTGGATTGGGATGCAAGTGGAACACAGCCCTCTCCACTCAGCTTCACCTTCACCGCCAGTTATTCCAAATCTAATTAAAGATTACAGAAAAATCTCAGAACTATCAGGCAACTTGTCATATTTATCTCTGCAGCACTAAACAGCTGTCCACATGCATTTGAGACTTTGGTAACCTGTTTTAAAAGCTGATGATATCAACAAAGTAAATTATAGATGTGCCGTCTCTCCATCGTCTTCCAGTGATGAACATTCGTGTATCAACAAAGAAAGAACAATTCAGAGGCAGGAAATTCCCTACCTCTCAACTCTTATAATCCAAATCCATTAAAAAAAAAATAGGACAGTGATATTTATCTTGGAAGCAGAAACGGAGCACACAAAAAAAAAAACGTGTATAAAGAATGCACATTAAATTTATCTTTCCACTTGTCTGGATGGAACCCTCTCCCCTTCCACCTGTAGAAGATTTTAATGGTTTCAGAAATTCATTTTGTTGCTCCCAGTTTTACAAGGGAAACAAACTGAAGATGGTAAATAGCATATAAAATTATCTGCAGTGAAGGCTGGCAATATCTCAGGAGCTCCTTTGGCCTGTACACTTATCCATATTGGTGTAAACTCGTAATGATCTCCTTTATTTTCACGGGATTTCCGTCTACATATTTTATTTATACATAGATAAAATGTCCCAGAGCAGAGGGAGTTACAGGTAAGCACTTTAGTATCACACAAAGAAACCACCTTCATTATAAATTATCATATATATAGTGTTAAGCTGAGGCAGCAGAGAATCTCAGTGTGACCTGGTTGCTCAAGTAGCAATTCTGAAAGCCAGACCTCTCTGAAGAGACTTGGGCTGGCATTTCAAAAGGAACTTCAAGAAACTGTAAGTCTGGCAGCTAATCAAAGCCAAATATGAAACTATTCTCCAGGGGTCCTTAAAAGAAAAACAATGTGTGACTGTCCTTTTGCTCTCCTGCTTTTTCTATGTGCAACAAACTGAACTTTTGAGAAAACCATGAAGTAAATGTAGTCCTATCAATACTATATGGGGTCCTTGACAGTGAAATAACTGTCCACAAGGATATATTTATTAATTATCTTTACAAAGCATCTGTTCCTCTCTGGAATGTCTGACCAGACGGTGCTGCTGCAGCGTTTGGGAAGCGAGACTCACTTGGGCAGGTTTCCAGAGAGAATTTTCCAGGCATATTCCCGAAGGTACTTCTGGAAGATGGTGGTCAGGGCTATCATGGGCTCGCCAGTGCTGAGCTGGGAGCACTGCACCATGCACTTCTTGTAGTACACAAAGAGGTCGGCACAGCTGGGCAGGACGGCTCCTCCTTCGTCCACGTTTGGCTTGGGGGGACCCTGAGCCTTGAAATCAGCCACAAACCTGTCAATCAGCTCCCCGAGGTTCCTGATGGGGGAAACAACAAAGACACTTTAGTCTGCTGGGGGAGGAAACGGAGGGAAGAAAGATTATAATGCTTAAAAACCAGGACGCCCTGTCTTGTGACGGCAGCGAGCACGTTCAGATTTTAGCAGGTGGGTATCCCGGTCCTTTCTTATCCCACCCTCCCAGCACAAAGCTCACACAACAGCACAGACCAGACCGATGAGTAACGACCTTTTGTGCTCCAGAGTTTTAGTGGCAGCTTCAATCTGTTCTCCAGTCACATATAAAAGCTCCCAAGTCTGCCAGGACTGGGTTCAGCACATTTGATGCAAGTGCATAAAGCGTGTGCTCAAGTTTCATTCCTGGCACCAGGAAAAGTAACAGTCAGGCTTCCCATCTCAGCAGCCTCCGGAGCAGACCTTGGGGAATATGGATTTTAAAGGGATGTGCTCGAAATGGTGTGCCATTTGCCATTTCTTGGTCCCATTTGGATACCACCTGGTTTAGCACAGCTTCACACATCCTTTAAAGAAGTTTTATTCAGCATGAGCACAAAGCCACTTCCTACTTAAACTCCTTTTAAAAGCACAAAAAGCCCTCCTATTGTCTCCAGTGATTCATTATAGCCTGGTCCTTGCTCAAATATTTCGGTCTTTAGGCAAAGATAAACTTCACTCACTCCATAGTTGCACCACGACAAAAAGGTTTTTAGTGTGGCAGAGGGCCAGAGCCTTCAACACAGAACCAGAGAAGTCTTCTGATCCCAGGGACTTCCTCTGGTCCTACTCCTCCAGAGACAGCACAGAGTCAGTGACCAAGACCAGCTCTCCCAACACCGGAGCTCAGCTCCAAGGAATAACCTTTGCCAGATGAACTGAATTACAGCAATAAACCTCCTCCCCCAGTTTGTTTTTTGTCTGGCTTTTGAGGAATGCATAGGCCTTTCAGATGACAGAGTGGCACTGTGCTGACCAAAAGGGGTTCCTGTATTTTATATTCCTGTTTCTATATATATAGAAATATATATCCTGTTTCTATATATATTCTTGGCTCCACTTCCTCGAGCTCTCCCCTTCCCACGGCACAGCCTTCACCCCTCTCACTGTTGAGGGTGTAATGGCTGTGCTGTGCCATGATCTGGGGTATCTGAAGAAAACCAAATCCTTAGGAGAGTGGCTGAGACTCTTCAGCACATTCTCACTTACCTCTGCCAAAAAAAGGGGAAAATCCGCCAACAATGACAACTTTTCCCCACTTTCTCTCCTGTTTTTCTTCTCCTCTTGTGAAAGAGAAAACCCCTCTGATTCCAGTTTACCAAAGAATCCACGACACCACACAAGTCTTTTCCCTGATAAACTTAGGAGACTGCTGCCCCAGAACAGATGAGCTCCTACTGTGGGTGATCCACAGGGCCAAACCAATCTACAGAAATGTGTTGCAGTATCAGGGCTAAAGCCAGGAGTGAGGCTCTCTGGCTTTAGCCAGGCTATTGCAAAGACAAGTAGCCCCCTTTTTTCCTGCTTATTGCTTGAGCAGTGCACACAGCTCTGATTCCACAGCTACACACAGTTCCTCGGCTGTGTTACAAGCACTGTAAAAACATCAGGCTGCTCGACTGATGTGATAAATCTCTACACTGGCAGGAGCAATTGAAGGCTGAACTGAAGCATTGATTGTACTCGGCCACAGTGAAGCAAAATTTACCTCCCCCTGTAGCTGTAGGAGAGCCAAACAGATGGAGCTGCAGGAGGGCTCACACGTGCTGCAGGCTGCAGATTCCTGCAGGTTCTCAAGGAAAGCGGACGTGGCTCACTCCTTGTCAAATTAAACAGCTGCATCTCCACCTCTGCATCTGTGCTTTGCTCCAGATGGGCAACAAAGTGGAGCTTTCTTAGCATTCACCAGTCACTTTGGTTTTTTTTTCATTCTCTCAGTCTCAAGACACGGTCAGGAATGTCAATGGCTTTTGTTTCTTTATGCTTAGTCCACATGTTCTCTTCTCCAAGGCAAAGTGAAATGTATCTGCATTTTCCTGGTCCCCCAAGGTCTTGTCAACTGGGGTGTAGGAGAAAATGCAGCTGTTCAGAAGAGCTGGGAGAGCAGTGCTGGGGCTTCACGCTTGTTCTGATCCCAACCTGGACTTACTGCTTGTCAAACCAGGCTATGGGACTGCTCTTATTTCAGCATGGGATTGGTACAAACAAAACATCAGGATACTGGGCACTAAGGGAACTAATATATCATTAATGCCCACCTTGGTTGATGGCAAACTTTCAATTTAGTCTCAGTTTTCCCATATATAATATGAAGGCTAAAAACCTTTGTGTGGTACAACAGGAGCACGGAGAGTTTGGCAGAAAAGGCTACTGGGAGATGAAACATGAAGAAGGCAGGAGAGTTACAGAAAATGAATATTTTCTCCACAGCCTCTACAGAAAAGCTCCAAGAAAATTCTCTGGTAGTGCAGATGTGGTATTTCCTAACAGTAGCATATTTATTGGGAGCGAGAACTCGCCAAATCTAACCAAGAGAAAGTATGACATGAAATCATCCAACGGAATTTTATTCTGGTTCTTAAATCTTTTCATTCCTGCATTCCTCTTCCTTTTTTCTTTCACTCAACCTATTCAAGAGGGTTTTTTTTTCCACCTCTGGCAATCACGAGAGGAACCAGGTAACTCCTCAGCGGCACGAGAGAGGAACACGGTGCTCGGGAAGCTGGTCTGCTCAATGGTGTGAACAGTGGTATCTGCTGGGCACTGAAAAAGGGCAATGGCACTGAGACACCTGGATCATTGCAGAGTAGTTTCCATGGACTGGGTATTTTGGAAGCCCCTCTGCTCCCGAGGCTGCAAACACACAGGATGAAGTGCCAGTTTTCCGAACAATCTGAACTCAGACGTGCCTTTTCGCAGACTAAAGCACAGCTCTGCACACGCTCAACCCTGCAGACCTGACAGAGTCCCTCCTTCCCTCCAGCACAACAGCTCAGCTCATGTCTGTGTGTTCCTGCTGCTCCAACTGGCCACAAAGAAGAGCTAAAGACGCACAGCCCCGAAGGGGCAGAAATGAAATCCACTTTGCTGTTAAGAAATCTGATATTTACTCTGCAGTTAAGAATGGAGAGCAGCATCTTTAAAGTCTTTCTTTCAGGTGTCTCCTCTTAAACTGCTACAGATTTTGGCAATGTGTTTCTTTAAGTGGGCATGGAAACAATTTTTCGGAAGAAAAAGCCCAGGCTGCTTTCTGCCACAGATTTCAGGCAATGGTGAACAAAACTATCGCGCTACCCTCACTATTCAGAGCCCAAACACACAATTAATGATCTAAGCAACATCTCGTTTTCAGACATCAGCAGCAGATTCCTCAAAAGTTCAATCGAAGGGGGAAGAAGAGAGAAAATCATGAAGGAAAGCAATTTTTGGCAGACAGGGGCAGCATGGGGAATACTGTGGCAGTTTTTCTTTGAACTCCTTGCAGCCTGTGGCTATAAAGCTAATATAAAACATCTCATGATTGTAAAAGAAAAGGCAAAAAAAAAAAAGGCAACTGAAAGGGCTAGGAGCACAGTGGGGTAGAATTACCAAAACGGGGATTAAAATGTCCCCCAGTGGGAAGGGAAGAAATATTCAAACAAGTCAGTGCTCAGTTGGCTGAGGGCAGGGGGGGAAATATCAGTTTCCCTTTGTTATACTGCACAGCGGAACCTAAGCCCAGCATGACAGACCATTGTGCAAGGTTTCAGTTATTTTATTTTTTTTTTTAAGCATAAAAGGTTGATGGGACATGGGAAAGCTTTTTCAAGGTGGCTATTGTGGAGACTGGACAAAATCAGGACACCAGGAGCGTCAAGTTCTGCACTCTCTCATGTGTAAGTCCTTGAAGACAGGAGGGCACAGACAGATGAGATACACAAAGCAGGCACCTCCTTCTCCTTTCCAGCCACTAATCTGTGCTAAAAGACTAAATCGAACCTTTTTCAACTATCTCCTCTCTGAGGTGGCACAGCAGTTGTTACCGAGATGTTATTTAAACCCCGGTGTGAATCAAGGTGCACAAGAAAGTGTGGTGAGAGCTCTAAAAACTTCTCTGAGCTCTAAGCTGAAAGCTCCTTTCATTCAAGTTATTTTGCTGCAAGTCAAAGAGGAAGATGAAGGAGCGTTCCAGGGATTAAAGCCCCTGACAAAGTCCCAATCTGTGAGCAATGATAATGTTATCTTACAGCCAGCTCATCTACAGCAGCTTTCATCTAAAGATCTCAAATAACTTATTTCTATAAAGCAAATCTTGAAACCCCTCTGCCACAAAGCCACATGTGTATTTTACGGAAAACCCAAACCTATTATTTGTGGAAGACACGAGATGAAAGAAAGACATATGTCTGCAGTGGGAATTGCAGAGGCAACAGAAGTAATTTCAGGAACACTAAGCCTCTTCCCCAGAAAGGCAGCAGGCACCATTCCTGCAGGCCTTTGCAATTACACGTGAAACCAACAGCCACAGCCCCCTGAACACTCATTTTGCCCAAGCAAAGGTCCCACTAAAACTTTCCTGAACCACAAACACCGCTCCTGATGAAAGCAGACTTTCAATAAATTAATTTTCTGCAGCTTGAGTACAGAATCCAGTACAACCCAACACGTTCAAAAGCAAACAAACCCCAAAGAGGAGCTGGTTACTCACTTGTCCTGGGACTCAATATACACATAAAGGTGAGGCTCAAAGCACTTGGAAACAATGCCATGGAAAGGATTGTCAGGGACCTTTGGCTTCTTGGGCTGTAAGAAAACATTGAGAGAGTTGGTTACTTGCCCTGTAAGACCTTGAAGAAACAGCAACGGCACAGAAGGATGTAAGTCTTTAAAGATATTTTAACAGAAATTTACTGTCAAGTAATCAAAGCATATAATTTACAGTACAGGCAAGTCTTCCCTCCCTCTTACAGAGCTGTTGGCAATCCAAGGAATTATCTTTCCACTTGTAAAATATTCTTATCCTTAAAGAGAAGCTTGCTCCCTGCTAACAGATTTCAGTAAAAGAATCTTAATGCAGTTTGCAAAGAAAACCTCGCTGAATCCTTCAAACAGTAACAAGACTCCACTAGTCTCCTCTGAAATCAAATGCAGCAGCTATGTGGAAGCAAGATTCAAAAATCCCTACATTTTAGAATATCAAGGGTAATAACTCAAAGTTACAGACTTCATCTGGATGAATTTTATTTAGATAAACAGGGTGTAATTACTGGAGGAGCAGGAATGATAGAGGCAACATTACAGGCCTGCTTTCTCTGCGAAACACGTTTCTGGGGATGCAAAGATTTCTATTTTAAAATTACATTTAGAGCATTAAGCACATGTGCCATTTGGGAGCCATCCGGTTTAGCCTCATTTTAGTTTAGTGCAGCACTCTATACCATGGCCAAGCACAGCTCACTAAAGCCACTGGGACTACTCATATGCTTAAATTTGTGCATGTTTAAGTACCAGGCTGGGCAGGGTCTTTAAGCTCTTTTTTGCCCTATGGCTCAGTTGTTATTATTTTTTTACTAATAGACAATTTTTCTTGTTGCTTCCCAGCAAACCAGAAATTTTTCACTGGCTGCAAGGAGGGTTGCAGTGGTTCTGGAATGGAATTCTTGCTTCTCTCCCTACAAAAAGCCAGGATGAGCTCCCAGCCAACGAAGATAAGAATTTTTCCAGCTGAATTTTTTTTTAGTGTAAGAAAAGCAAAATAAGAGAGCTTAAAGGACGTTCTCTCCTAAACAGAGGAGGTGGCACTAAGTCTTTGGCAGAAACAGCAGGGAGTGACAAGGCAAACACTTCTCAGCAATAATTCAGCCCCAAAGACACGATGAATCCTAATGGATGGCTGCAAACCCAAAGTGAACAAAAGGTTTTATGGAGGCCAGACCACCTTTATGAGCCTGGCTTCATTAACCTTCTTACCCAGAGCATGACTGGAGAATTGACTGAGTTTGCACAGCTTTGGGACAGAGCCACTACCAGCATCCTCCTTCCCAGTACCTCTGCCAGGGCCTGCCCGTTTCTGCCGTTCGTCAGAGCCGGGAGGAAAACAATAGCTGGTAATCGCAGAAACCTCCCAGTGGCCAAGTCCCCAGGATGGCAGTGCCAACACAAGGCTGCAAATTCACCATGTTTATGGTTTACCAAGCTGGAAGAGCCAACTCATAAAGCAGGACTGGCTCTGTGTGTGTGTGTGTGTCTCCCCATCTCGCTGCTCCCAGCGTGTCTGGTGGGGAGAATACTAAATCTTTTAACAGTAGCACTGACGCTGTATTTCTGAGTGTGCAATCCTGTCCAAAAGCTGCAGATGTTTAAGCTATTTCCTCCTTGAGTTTGATGGAAATAATAAAAGGTTACTGTTGTCACAGTAAGGAGGTCTGCAGCTGGCCCAGTTTCCTTTCATTACTATCCAAAGTAAACAGATTAAACCGAACTGTTAGGATTGCTAAAAGAGGTGTTTTTTTAACATGGATTCCCCCCCAAACTCTTGTGCTCCCTCTTACACTCCCCAGTGTCTTGAATTCTCGGGACTAGTGTCTTGGAAGGGCTCTTCCACTGAAAATCCTTCACTTCTTCCTGTCCCTTCTCTACTCCATGTAGTGACAGCAGAAGATGAGTCCTCCAACATGAAGTCTCAGCACAAACCACCAGCTGCTGGCACTGTGACACTGAAATGCTGGAGCCCACAGGCCTCCCACTTGGCAGACAGAAGCCTTGCAGGGCAGCTGCCCTTGCAGCAGAACCCAGCACTGCACTGTGAGCATTAACACATAGAATTCCCAAAAGAAGAGGGCAACCTCAGCACACACAGCATTTCAAGGGATGCCTCCGCGGATGGCTTTGCACCAGCCTCCCCAGGTACAGGGAGCACAGCACTTCTTTTCTCAGAAGCTCCTGAACTGCTTCTGGCCAGGGCAGTGCATTCTGCTGTTCAATAAACCCAGCACTAATTACTGTAATTATCTCTCATCTGCCTTCTAGCAACATCGACCTCTCCAAGGACGTCTCCTCACCCCACACTGCACATCAAAGCCAACCTTCTCCCAGCCACTAGATACTGGAAAGCAAGTTCTTCCCAGAACACACACCACACGTGTCTCCCCAAGTTCCCAGTCACTGTTTCACTGATAAAAGTCCAGCCAATACCAACTGTCCAAGCTGTACTTTAACAAAAAGAGCAAAAATTCACTTAAATCATTCTGTTTCAGGACTTTGGCTGTGGGTGGAAGGCAGGGTTGCCCTGCTCACATGAAAATCTGGAGGGGATGTACCAGACTCTGCTGGTGGAGAACTACCACCCCCTAATATCTCCAGGAGTATGGATCTGAGTAGGTCCTGGGGCCCTGGTCATCCATCAGGATACACCTGTACATGGCCCATTTACAGGGCTGTAAACACACTAAACAAGGAGAGAGTACCAGCCTCAAACAACTTACAATTGAACATTTAGAAAACATCCATCTGGTGAATAAAAAATATGGGGCTTATAAGCTTTTATATTGGTGCCAATCAAAACAATTGCATTTACTATTCACTTCTTTAATGTTTGCAGAGGGCTTTGGAAGGCTCAGTGCTTGTACAAGCCATTAGGTGTTGCCTGCTTTGCAGAGGTAATGGATGAAAAGCACTACAGAGATAAAAATCCCAGAAGTAATTTATTTGGAGTGCAAATCTAAAACTGACACTTGAAAGTTCAATGAGTTGCCTGGTGACTCCAGACAGTTTGCCTGGCTGACAGGGCAAAATATGAATTGCAACTGTTTGTGGAGGAGTCTCTTTTGGGATCTGAAAGCCCAACTGCGCTAGTTCATCTTTCTTTGACAGAAATCCTGTAGTTACACTTAAGCTGTTGCTCTACAGGCTAGAACAGAATCCAACTCACTCTCACGTGGCAGGATTGTCTCTGCACTATTAACTGAAATAAAGATTGCTTTGGTTTCAGTGAAGTGAGCCAGAGCAAACCATGGGCGTACTGGGAGCCTCTATGCTGCACAAAGGATCAAAACTGCACTGAATTAATTGCTGTGAAAACAAACCTTTCAAATCAATGTGATGGGAAAAGCTCAGGCACCACTGGAGATTTTGACAGAGAGACTGCCTCACTGACAACTGGAGAACTTCAAAGACTTACTTTGTCTGGATCACTTTTCTCAATCACAATCTCATCTGTCTCTGTCCCAGTTTCATCCTCCAGAAATGGGTTGGTGGAAGGAGGTGATACTTCTGGTTTCTTCTGTTGAAAAAGAGGAAGCTCCTTAGAGAACAGTCAGTTTTGTGCCCTCTGGCACACAGCTGCATCCATGTTTTGCTTTACTGAGCCCTTCAAAAAAAATAAAGTCATATTCTCGAGAGATCTAAATTCAGCCTGGAGGAAAACCTGACAGGACTTCCCTTTTTAACCAGCAGCACCCACTGACCCACCAGCAAATTACAAGTGGGTCTAGCAGGCTTTCCTTGTAGGTTGAATTATCACATCCAAGGAGGCTTCAAGACACCAGCTGGACAGAGAGCCAACCTCAAACCAGTGGCTTCTGAGCCACACGTGGACTCTGTGCTTCCAGAGCACTTGGTTGGCAAAGCTCCTGGCTGAGATTTTGGGCAGAAAAAGCAGAGATGGTCTCATAGATACTCCCTGAGCTGTTTCCCTTGGCTCTGCCTTTACAATCTACCAAATCAGACAAAAGTTGAAGCTACCAACATCCCTGTAAGTCAGACTGACCCAACAATGTGGGATTGAAAGTTGGTCCCATGTGGTGAACCTGTGGTAAGTGGAAGTGAAGGGGGGACTTTTAGTTATTATGTGCCATTGACATGCAGAGAACAAACATCGTAACACAGTCATCACTCCATAATTACTCTGTGGTTCCCCATAGTTATGTGGCTTCAGCTGAAAACAGCACAGGGCCCAGGAGAACCATAAAAGGACACAATCAGTGTATTTTTATTCTTGTGAGTCCTGTGCCACCTTCTCCTCTACACAGTCTGCACGACCAAAAACCACTTTTCAAACTACAGTCCACGAAACACCCAAATGTGCCAGTGCAGGAGGAGGCTGGATGTGACAACTTTTGCAGACTCCCACTACCAGAGCTACGTGTGACAGGGTTTCTTTATCCCAAAGAGGCTGTTAAGAAAGGGCTGCTCTTTAGAAATCCCCTTACCACTGTCCCATCAGCAAGAGTGCAGCCTGAGAAGCGTTTAGCCAGGAATCCTTCAAAGTTGGTTGTCCTCTGAATTGCAAACAGCAGCAATTTCACCTCAATCTCCTTCGCTCTTGTGCGCATGATCTTCGAGAGCTCTGCCCTGGAAAGAGAGAGGGGGAAATAGAAAAAACAAATGTGGTTTTCTATAAAGATCTGAAACCTAACACTGTAATTCGGCCTATTCCTTGGAGAGACTTTCATCACAAAATTCAAGCTAATTCCTAAGATGCTCTCTAACATAAAACTGCTTTGTAGATCCCATTTCAAACACAACCACAGTTGCTCAGAGCTCTCTGGGTAACAGGACCCCATCTCCTAACAGCCAGCACAGCACTGCCGCAGGGAAAGCCAGCAGGATCAAACCTTGGGAAGCACAGTGCCTCCCACGGGGGTCCCAGAACAAAGGCAATGGTGCTACTGGGACTGGCACCTTCCTCTGGTCCTGTTTCTGGCTGACCAAGAGCCCAGTCTGAGGCAGGCATGCTGCAGTCAGCTCACACTATTCCACTTGGCCTCTGACATTACTGATTTTTACCTCTGTTCCATTGAAAATTGATTTCCACACCATCTCTCTTGCAGTTTTAGTGATACTTCTCAGGGTTTCCACCCCTCACTTGTTTTTAATCACGGACAACTCTACGCAGGTGTTGGAAGACTGCCCTTAGAGCCTGATGGATGTACGACCAGCGTGGCGGGAGACAAGCTCAGGTTTTATTTTAGGGAAGATGGGCCTGCTGGGAGGCAGCACAAGCCTCCTGGAGGCTCACCTGGTGACGTGGCAGAACTCCACGGCGATGCGCTCCGTCATGCACCATTCCTGCGGGAACATGCGGCCGTACTTCTCCTCGTAGTCCACCAGCTGCCTCTTGATCCAAGCGTAGCGCCTGTCGATCTTATCCAGCCAGGCCACCTGGATCACATGGAGAACATCATCTCTAACAGCAGCAGTTCCTAATATCCAGCCTGGCTGCTTCACCCTGCTGCCATAGTTCTGCAGAGGAGCTTGGGCTATCGATCGAAGCTAATTTGACCTTCATTTATATTACTCTGAATGCTTCGAGTTGAGCCACGGGAGGTTTAGATTGGATATTAGGAAAAATTTCTTCGCTGAAAGGGTTATCAAGCATTGGAACAGGCTGCCCAGGGAACTGGCTGAGTCACCATCCCAGGAGGGATTTAAAAGATGTGTGGATGTGGCACTTAGGGACAGGGTTTAGTGATGGACTTGGCAGTGCTGGGGAATGGTTGGAATCAACGATCTTAAAGGTCTTTTCCAACCTAAATGATTTTGTGATTCAAAGTGCTCAAACACATGCCAGATTGAAAATCCTATCTTGTGTGAATTAAGAGAGCAAGTTCTGTTGAAAATGAGGATAACACTACTCCTAAATCATGTAGAGATTATTGAAAATTCAATCCAATAATATTTCACTTGATCCCACCCTCTTTGTTTCACAGACAGAGAGGCGAAAGTCAACAGTGGGATGAGAATGCAGGAATTCCTAGATTCTTACATTTAGCTCACATTCAAAATTTGACAACAATTCTTAGAACCTGAGGATTTTTTTCCCCCTAACATTAGTGCTTTCTGGTCAAAAAGTAGAAAGATTAATCCAAAAAAATTTGATGGAAATATGCTATTTAAAAGTAAGCATTTTAGCCTCTCTCTCTCCCTTGTCAAACTCTTGAAACTGATAAAATACATTTTGATCAAATGGTGGTTTTGGTTTGTGGTGGGTCTTTTTCCAAATTTAAGAAGGTTTTAGTACATTTTTAAGAAGTTGTCAGTATCAGAACAGGAAATTTAAAAATTAGCTACAAAGATAAATAACTTCCTAGAAATCTCTCCCCCATGGTTTTTTAAGCATTTTGCGGGTTTTCTTCTTCGTTTGGGGGGAGGTGCTTTGCAATTTTCAGAGTTTAATTTTTCAACTCTTTACAGGGCAGGAAGAATAATCTGACATGAAATGATTTATTTACTGTACAAAGGGAAAACATTTCTAGTGATGATATATGAAACTGAGGTCTAAGGTGGGAGGAAGTCATCCTGGCAGAGAGGACACTGACTCCCAGCTCATCAGCCATATCACACCCACTGCTTCCAAACCCTCGGGGATAAAAACTTTTCACCACAGGAACCTGTGGAAGCGTGAATTTTGTGAACGCCAGCAGAGTAAAATGTGAAATCCAAATGCAGCTTTTTAAGCTTCCCTTACATCTTGGTTTTCCTGGAAAAGCACCAGATACTCCGAGAGGTGTTGTTTAATAAATTTCTTGATGATTTCCTGTTTGATTCTGGGATCCAGGACGTTGGCGACCAGACATGCATCACGTAGGACATTGCTGGGTCCACCAGTCCTCTATCAAAATAAACAGGAAGAAAGGGATTTAAGGTTAAATAATTGAATGGGTGACTGTAAACTGCACTGCATCCAGGTTATCTTGTTTTTATCCTTTCCCATTATTCGCTTTTCAATGCTTCTGCTGCTATTCTTTATTTATCGCTGCATCTTCCTTCCCTGGGATGAAAATTGAGCTGCTCCCATTTCACTGGCCATTAAGTTTTTCCATAGCAGAGAAAACAGAAAATTTACAAAACATTTTTTAAAAAAAATGTTGTTTTGATGCTGCTTCACATGGACATAGACTTATCCTTCATCAACTGTTCCAAACACTTTCCTCATTTCTGTACTTGCCGGTTTTATGAAGTAACCAGCAGAGTTGGTACTGGAAAGACACCACTAGTGTTTTCTTTGAAGTAAATTCAAATTCACACCTACCTCCTTTACTGTTTGCAAACATTTGGATGCACAATGTTGGGGAAGCACATTTGGTGCCTTAGCCCTAGTCCAGATTTGTGTCTGTGCTGTCTGAGTAAACCAGAGACAAACTTGGTAGCACATCAACAGACAGTCTGTGCTCGGCTTTCTCTGAACACAACATGAACCTCTCGTGACAAACAAATAACCAGTAACTGGGTGAGATGCCAAGGGAACCCCATGCTGGTCTGTAGGGCCACACAGGAATTATTTGGGGCATTCCCTGACTGCCTGCAGCCCTCACTGCAATAGCTGTGTCAGTGTGACAGGGGAAAGTGTCACTTCTCCCCCACATTCACTCGACAGTGAGAAATACACCCAGCACCCTTTGCTTTCTGAAGTAACTCCTGAAACAGAGATCAAATCTAGATGTAAAATGAGACAAAACCCAACGACAATCACACTGAATAGTTTTCAGCAACAATTTTCCAATGGGAGGAAGGAGGAAAGTGAGAACTTTACCTTTGTACCTTGAGAAGGAAAGGCTTCCTCGAAGTCAGCCAGGATCTGCTGTCCCAACTCGTTCTGTGCTGCCTTCACCCTGGGGAGGACAGAAGGGAGGGCTTTGGTGGTGGCTCAACCACCTCTTTGTTTCATTGCCTGGAAACATTACTGCAATGTGGACTGAAACACTGACAGCTACCTGAAGGTTTTTGAGGGATAAAAAGGACGCTAAAGAGAAAACATCCATGCTAAGAAGGTCTGTGTGTCAGAACTGGGAGAGTGTTTTCTCCTTGAATGACACTGGGATGACAACTCTATACAGCACTGACCCCTCAGCTGTAGCAGAACATGTCCTAGATTCTCTTGTCCTGCTGCCACTTTAATATTTCAATAAGGGCCAGTTAATCAGCTGAGAAATCAGCAGGGTTCTTTTAAAGCCAGTGTGATCAATCTACCTTTACTTTTGTGTATGTTGATCACATTTCAACAAATATATGTTCCTGACACGTAAAAAGCTTCACAATGTCTCAGTCTTCACTGTGAACCTTTCACAGTTCCAGGTGTACTGACCTACTTTTAAATGCATCCATGTACTTCTGGCTGCAGTTTTATCCTATAAATTCTCCATGCATAAAAGAGCAAAGGTATGAAATGGGTGTTAAAAGTTTTGAACAAACCACAATCTTGCTCTTTATTTGGCTGAGAGAATAAAGCTTCCAATTTCCAGAAATAAAAGTCAATATAGCTTAATTGATACTTCTAGGGAAATGGAAATGCCTACACATACTAGAAAGAGCCAAAGCAAACAGCAAGGCACTTATATCCCTCTGCAGCCCTTGAATTCTTCCATCAGTTTTTATTATACTGGAAATGCTTTCAGGTCTAAACTGATCATTCAAAGCAGTGGATTTTTCCACTGAGATTGATATGTTAGTGAGAGCAGAGACATTTACTGTTGTGAAAATGTTTGCTCAGACTGGGGGGAGAAGACTTTGGATTTTTTTTTTTTTGATTGTTTAAGACTCCTCAACCTTATCAAGGAATGATCTCGCTTCTTTAATCTTCCCATTTGAGTTCCATTAGTAGCAAAACACTATGAGATGACCTGACAGTGCTGGAGAAAAGGCTGGATTCTTTAACGGTGCCAAATACAGAAAATTCTAGTCCTTTAAAAATGACAGCTGAAATATAACTTTATATCTGTGATTTAACTGGATGTATGACCTGCCTTCCCTAAGATTTATTTATGGGGATTTTGTTGGAACAGTTTCCTGCCTGCAATGTCAAACATAATTCTCACTTAAGCTCTCTGCTTCACAGGAATGTTCAGAAACTCCTCTACTCTTCCAGGTAAAGATCCCCAGTTAACACCTTCCTAACTGTGAAACAAAAGGGATTCACTAATATATTGAAATAGAGAGGGAAATTTAAGCACTAAGGAGGAACCTAGCTCAGCAGCCACAACTACAGGTTTACTTGTGCTTAAATTGTACAAGAAAGCACCAGCAGTTCATGTGAGAAACCTTTTGATCCTTCAGAAAAAGAAGGGGCAAAAAAGAAGAAAAAGAGACAGTAAAACATGGATTGAAAATTTTTATCTTTCAAATAATTGAGAAGCAAGAAATCTTTTGTATTAGGAGTCAGAATACAGAAATTAATGAACATAATGAGTAGTATAAACAATTGGAAGCTCTTAGTAGTGGTGCTCCTTTCCCTGTGAGTGGCTGCAGGGACCTTCCTATTTGACAACAGCTGCAGTGCAGCACAGTGGAGGCACTGAAAAGAGCAGCAGCCAGATTCCTAAAGACTCAACAAATTTAAAGGAGACTCTGTCAAGCAGTTAAAATCCCTGTCCACGGGCTTTGTTGTTTTAGGCTCTGATTCAGGAAAGTACTTAAGGGTAGTCTTAATGGGGATTCTCATATCCTTAAATTAAGAAACTTGCAGGAATGCCTTGCTGAAGTGGGATGTTAAAAAAATGTATTTTTTAAAAATAGGTCCTGCTTAAAAATCTCTCAAAAGCAAACAGTGAGAAGGAATTTTAACCTTTTTCTTTTTCCTTCATATTTTGTAAGAGAGGGTTGGGGCAGAGCCATTAAAGTAGCCAAAGGTTTCGGTGTGAGCAAGGACAGGGAGCCCCACTGTCTACCACTATCTACCAGTCTTTACATAAGCACACAGACACACACAATCATTTTCACAATTATTATTATTTTTGTCTTCAAACACACGCCCAGAAACATGAAAACCTTTCAGCCACCTCTTTACAGCGTGACTGCTTTAGTCGGAGAACACGGGAGGCACTTGCTTTAGTCACTAGAAGATTAGAGCCCCCATGGAAAGCTGTGAGCCTTTCAATAATTCCCAATAATCCCCATGCAATGGAAACTGCAGGGATAAAAGTCTCAACCCCATGAGTGGCTGTGCTTCCATTTACTGCTGAAGGATCTTCCTGCACGTGTCTGTGTGTTTAACCACTTGTATAAAGTGAATTGCCCACTAAGGCTCAGCAACCCCAGATAACAGATTTAGGACCTCTGAGAGCCTCAGGTCAGTTTGATAAGGGTATCTTTCCATGACTAGATTCCCCCAGAAACGTGCTGGGGTATCCCAGCAGCCATCCTGCGTCCCACGCAGCAGGGAATTGCCTTTTCCTGGGGCTGCTCACATGTGCCAAACCCTTTGGTTATCCAAATATTAATGATTTCTGTTTTCTCTGACTTCTGTTTTATTATTAGTGGCTTCTGTTCTCTGATTACCCCGCCCTTAAAAAATAAAAACAAGAAAACCCACTGTTTTGTTTCAAATGACATTACATTACTAGAAACCACAATTTCTTTAGCCAAAGCTACCAGAAATCTTAAACCACGCCTGGCAGCTTGCTGAGATAAAAAGAGGCTGAGCCAGCCTGTTTTTCTGTGGCAAACTTGTAATCATCTTTCTCCTAAATACTTTCCAGGCTTTTTTTCCACTACCTGCTAGGCCTGCTCGACCACTTTCATGGGTGGGTTTGTGACCACTAATTGCACCTCCCCCTCTACAGACAGAAAACAGAAGAGGATTGAGAGATAAGAAAATATTCCTATTTACTACAACAACTTCCAAGGCACCACATTACAAGTTGTTTTAGGAACACTGTTAGGAAAATATTTACATTTGGACGTGAATTGTGACATTTGTATGTCAATACTCAACAGGATAAGCACAAGAAGCCAACCACTGAGAGTCCAGCCCAGGTTTCCAACGAATACAGTGGGATTTTGTTTGGTTATTTTCAGAGGGATAGAACAGGTGGAAAACAACATTAAAAGCACATCATTACTTTTCACAGCATCCAGGAGCAGGAAGCTAAATTGAATACCCCATGACAAAGAGCACATCCACCACCACTGAGCAGGCACTTCTCCTTCCCATGGTTTCCCATTCATACTTGGCTTCACTCCATTCACGCCAAGAAAGAGAGGCTCTTTATTACAGAAAGCAACAGAATCTGCTCATTTAGCAGCGTATATAATGGACTTATTGTATATAACAGACATTGGTTACTGTCACAGCTCTCTGCCAACATCTACTAAAGCATTTCTTGCCTTCCCAAACATGCTAGAGGCTTCACTTGCACCATTTAAACAAATCCAGGAGATATCAAACCCCAGCGATTTCACGGTCTAAAAATATCACTGCGAGAAGCCAGGCAAACTGCCTCTGATGTTTCATGAATCACGAAAGGATTTCCAAGCAAAAGAGAGAGAAAACTCAACTCCAAATCGGGCCCTAATACATACACGTAACAGTCAAACTCCAAAGCAGAATTATGGTGCCACAGACCTCCCTGTAGGAATTTTCTGCCTGGATGTGAGAGCAGCAAAGAGCTCCCAGCAGCACCCCAGTGCAGCTCCTTTCGCCCCACAAGCAGCAGCCTCTATCACTACCAGATGGTGCAACTCTCCCTGTATAAACACTGGAAGGAAAACCCTGCCGAGGCAATTCTAAAAATAGGAGGAACAGACTTTCTTGAGCTTTTCAGATTCTTATCTCGAAGGCAGAATAAAACAAAAGAAGTTTTCCTCCACATCCTTGCCAGTCTCGCTGGCGTGACTCGAAACCACTGTGCCTTTTAGCAGCAGCCTGAATTCGGTTTTGTAACCATCAGCAACTGCAAAAGTATTAAATAATCATCCACCAGAAAGGGAAAACCAGCCAGAGTTCTGGACCAAGGCTTAAATTATATTTGGCCTTAAAATGGCCAATGACAGCAGGTTTCTGCCCAAAGGGCATTACCACTCTGGAAGAAAATGAAGCAAGCAATCTTTCTGAGTATGAGGTTGCAATAGACAACAGCCTAAATTCAGAAGAGCACTGATATATGTTTACATTTCCTTCATGTTCATGTTCATTTAAGCAAATGCTTATGGTCAAATGCATTGTTAAAACAAGGCCCCATCCCTCTCTAGATTTAGAGTGGATTTTTCTTCTGCTCTGTCTCATAGATTCCATCTGGGGTTTCTGGAAGAGGTATCTATACCATAAAGAAAGTCCAACAGATTTACATGAAAACATTACAAACAAATCATTCAAACACTGTTTCCATCACTGAACAGCACAGGCAGCCAGCTGCTGTTTTAGCAAAGGGAGTCGCCAAAAAAATTAATTACTGTGCCTGGAAGACTCCTTCCAGTACTTCTGTAATGAGCAAAGTCATCTCAGGCAGGGTCAGCAATGTCCCCTAGAACAAGAGGGCCTTGTTCCCTTGACACCCAGCTGTCACATCCCAAATGAAACCAGGATGTGCTGACTTAGTCACCACTGAGCCTTCACCTGCTACTGCTGAGAATGGTGAGGACGTGCTGTGGGAGCTGCACCAAAACTCACCCACTTAAATTCTAATGTATCTCCACATTAGAAAATCAAGACTATACAAACCCACAATGCAGAAGTGTTTAGAGCAGTCAGGTGTGCTGCATGCCAGCTTGGGAAGATTGGCTACAAGCCTCAAATCTCAGCAGAATTGGGCAATCGGAGCAGGTTTTGGCAGAAGAAACTCAAGGTGCTCAGAACAACCGAGTTTGGAAAATGTACAAAAAGAAATCCTGCATGCCCAACCCCTTGGGCACTGCAGTTTGGCACTGTCAAGGCAGAAGGGGGCCCCAGGCATCACCATGGTCATGAATACATTTGTGCTTCATGCCAGGCTGCTGAGCTCTATCACTGAGGTTAAGAGAGCAGGAGAAAGCATTGCCTGGGGGTTCACCACAAACACCTGCACACAAAGATCACATGAAACAATTTGCACTTCCACAGATCACTCCAGGTAAGAAAATTAAAAACCAGTCAACGAGAAGCACAGAACATTCATGAATCACATCCATACTAATTACTGTTATTTAACACAATGTGTTGCTCAAGATTTGAGCAAACTGTGTCCAATTTTAACATGTTTGCTTTGGCTGGAAAAAAGCTCAAAGGACCATGTCCAGCCTTCACATCCTTGAGACACTGAACCTGTCTAATGCATTTCCTAACCTTCCTTCCCAGCAGGAATGTAAGTGCTCAGGATTTGAACCTTTTACCTTTCAGAGAGCTGTCGAATCTGAGGGATCCCCATGTATTTGTTGAAGTGCTCTAAAACATTCACAACACCTTGGAGAAGGTTGGCAACTTCCCCATATTGTCTCCTCCTGGTCATAGCCCTGTAGAGGAAATTAAAGATTTACAAAGGCAGATGCAATGAAAATCCTGGGTGGTAATTCCACAGGTTACTTCATCCCCACTGGGTCATGCCTGTCCCTATTGAAATTTATTTTTCTAACATACACAACTCTTCATTAACATTCCAACGCGGCATTAAAATTTCACTTAACTGATGCTAAAATAAACCAATCTGGCACACATCTAACAATGCCTTAAAAAAACATAAATGTCAAAAGCAACACTTGGCAAAGAACATGTAAACTACTGAATGCATCCGCTTCCCAGTATGGGTCCGGAGGCAGTAAATGTTATTTCACTATAATGACCTGAGTGAAGCCATTCGTCATCACACACAAAGTGTGAGTTAAAGCTTCTCAGGGAGGAGAGCGATGCTGAAAAGCCATTAGCCTTGACTTTTCTGTTAATAACTTTCACAGGGAACTGACAGCGAAAGAGAAAATCAAGTTAATTTATTTTTATATCATCCTTTAGGATCGTTCCAGTGGAGACAGCAGCCTAAGTAAAATTTTATTCTCAGCACTTAACAACCCAGTGTTCGTGCAGAATTTGCTACAACCCGAGAACAGGCTGTGCCTGGGACTTGCAACTTCACAGATGCAACATGTAAAAAACTGTATTTTTCTAGCCTGTGAGCTCCTCAAGCACATTAAAAAACCCAGAAAGGATTATTAGAAATATTTAACCTCCAATTCATACACAGTACAAGCTGTAAGGTTTCCTTAAACTCATGCTAGAATGGAAACTAGAGTAGGCCTTTACCAAAAAGAGAACTCATTACAGTTTAAGATGTGAGTGATAAAAATCCCCCCAAATCCCCAAGAGCACATCCCTAATGAGGATACCCAACTGCACAGGCTGACTTGTTCCTTAATTAAGCCACACTGTTCCTTATCACCAAGGATCAACACAGCAATTCAAGCAATCGATGCTGCAGACTGTTAAACACAGCAACAGGGGCTGAGGGTCACTCAGAGCTGCACAGGAAGGATCTGCCACCAAAAATCAAGAACTGCAGCCTGTTAAGCAAAATTCCCTCCAGAAACCCAAGCAGCTGTGACAGACCCATTCAGAGCACTGCACCAAACTTCAGAACTCAGCGGTGCTGCCAAAGTACCACCGAAAATTCCCACACTTACTCCAGTGAATCCACCCCCCCTGCCAGCATGTGGAGGTGGTTGAGGGTGGTGATGGAGGTGGTCAGGTGACGCTTGGCGTGATCCAGCTGCTTGATATCCCGTGTGATTTCCTTAACCTAGTGAATGAAAATGCACTTTTAATATATCAAGCCACGGCAATAAAATTTTCAGTAGATAAGAAGCTGTTCTTCTCCCCTCTTTGGGACTGCAGAGTAGTCAGCTCTGCAGCCCTGTTGACTCAAGGACAAAGGTACAGGTTCAACACGTGTCTGACAGCAAATTGCCAACCAGTCAGCAGGACCAAAGACAAAAATGTTCCCTTCTTAACATGAACTGGCAGCAAAAGTCAGTGTTCCCTCCCTTCCAAAAGCCAGAAAGAAAGTGCTGCTCACCATTTGTTCAGATTTTTCAGCCTTGTCTTTAATATCCTTAATTTTACCAAAGAGCTGTTGAATGGCTTTCTGGGCTTCTTCCAGAGCCTGGAAAAGAAACAAGGTCAGAGTGGAAAGAAAATCTGCATTCATTTTTCACCTTCTAAGAAATACACAGTTGGTCTCGACAGCCCCTGGGCTGGGGCAGTGGAGGGGAGCAGTTTTCTTACAAAGAAAATATCATCAGCACAACAAAAGTCAATGTACCATGCTGGAATATTTAACCTGAGTGGATCAGGGTTTCAGTATCCATTTTACAATAATGTTTTGGCAAAATCTAACTGAGATATTCTATGAAAGCAGCTCTGCAATAAGAACTATAAACAGGTTTAAGGTTACTGGAATGATTTTGATGGACTCAGTGTGGAAAAATAGGTACAACTTACTCCTGATCAATACATATTTAGAGCAGAAAAATGAAACCTCCACAAAACCTCTATGATCACCATTAATTCTAATAAAAAAATACACAAGATTACATATAGAACACAGAGTGCTTGCCTAAACTCCTCCCTAAATTCGCAGGATATTATCCTGTTGGAAAACACAGTGCTGATTCCCTCAGAGTGGGCAGCTCTCACATCCACCTGCAGGAGGAATGGCTCTTTCCTCCTGGAAGGAAGAAAGAAGAGAGGGCACAGGTTTAGCAGGCAAAGAGGGTCGAGCCCAGGAAGTGGATCTCACCTGGATTTTTGTGCTGTTTTACTGCAAGTTTCTTGAGGCACCTGGTCCCCTTTATTCAACCATGGTGCACCCTGACCTCACACAACCAGTGTGAACTACACGTGGATTCCATGAGTGAAGCCACATGTCCAGAAATCACATGTCCAAAATCTGACTTCTGAAGTAACTCAACACGTTTTGCCTTCCCAGTCTGATAACATTTCCAGCTCCAGCTCCACTTTGTTTCCCGCTGTTAAGTGGGCTTCTATCCCTCTGTTTTTATACCCAGTCCCATGACCAAGGTTACAGCACAAGCTACAAGTTCCTTCAGCAAATAAATTTAACACATCTTCATTTGGAAGTGTATGAGGAAACTATCTGCCAGGAGCTTTTGCTGGAACATAGCTGTGTTATATTAAAAGTATAAAAGTTGGAGACGGTTTATAATTCATTTTCCAGAGGGGGAGGGGGGAAGTCTCCTCTAAAATATCTTCTGAATCATGTGAAAGTTAACACTTTATTGATTTGTGTCACAGAGGTGTCAGATAGATGTTCACTATGGGACATGAGCACACAAATGGGCTGCAGGGATGGCTGTACCAGGACTGAACTCCTCCATCAGGCCTCTCCTTGGGCTCCAGCCTGGCCACCTTCTAGGATTAAATTTTCTCCTCCTTTTAAAGGTTTGTGGATTAAGTGCAAACCAAAGAATGCTCCTTTCAACATATTTAACTCTGTCTCTGTACTCAGGCCCAGACCACGGTTGCAGCACATTATTCAAGTGGGTTATTAAGCAAGCAGCAGCTGCCCTGCACAGTCTGAGATTTGGACAGGTCTGTATTAAAAAAAAGTCAGCCTGAAATTCTTCTCAGATGCCAATTGCTGTGTTTCCCTTTGCTTCAGCACTAATGTCAAATCCTAATTTCTCTGCACGATCCCAGAGAAGTCAGAGCTGAACTCTTCAGAAGAGATGAGGATTTATCCTGCCAATTAAAGATTCTCCAAAAGGAGGTGTTATCCTCCTTCATACCCAAAGCCAACTGAAAGAAACTGGATCACCCTAAGCCAACTTGCAGGGACAGGTGTTTGTTAAGATCTCACATGCAGGACCACAGGGAGGGAGGGTACAGAGGACCAGCTGGAATGAGTCTGGGGAGGTCCTGCACCCCACACAGCACAGCAGAGCAATGCAGACACAGCAGGACCAATGTGCTGTACACTTAGACACTTCTCTGATCCCATTCCCCTCTCCTAGGGCTTTTCAGATGCAAGCTTGGACAGTAACCACAGCAGCTCTCCATGGCATGACTGCCAAGGTGAACTCTAAAACCTCCAACCATCCACCACAAATCTTCCCCTCCAGGTGGCACCTCCAACTTGTCTCCAAGGCAGAGAGCATTTGAGTTTCTACTTTAAGCATCAATACACAGCTCAAAGCCTTTTGTTCTTGACAGCCTTCAGCAACCAAGTTCAGAGTAAACAATACTGTGAGTGAAGATTCCAGGTCTCACAAGTTTTACATTAGAATCCCTATCCACAAAGGGAAAACTATCTTATCTGTTTTCCTCATGATATAGAATATCATCTACTTGAATATAGAGACCTTTTCCAAAGTTATTGCCCATAACTTATACTCAGGTAACAGCCCAACAAGGATTTCTAGCTGCCCACATATCAGCAGTTTCTCTTTGCTCACTGTGAGGAAACAACACTCAATCTATTTCTCTAACAGGTCACGGTGCTATTTAATAATATTGTGACAAAAACCAGCAGAGACTATTTACAGGAAAACTGGTTTACACCTGAAGAACGTGTTCCTGCTGCTTGTTGGAAACCAGCACATAACAGTGCTGGGCAAACCCCCCACCTAAAAACCGCCTCTGGAACACCAGCCAAAGGAAAATGGGGTTCTGTCCTTGAACACTTAAAACTGCCAAAAATAAGTATCATCACCTGGTCCTGACACTTGTAGCTTTTACCTCCTTACAGACTCTGGAAAAACACAAAGGAGACAACATGTGCTCTGCCCCATCTGATGAATTAAAGAACTGTGGTCTCCTGCTGCTGTGAGAAATAACGTGGCTGGGATGGGGGGGAGAGACCAAACAGCAGCTGCTGCTCTGTTCAAATCCTGCATCGCGTGTCTCAGGGAAGGGGAAACACTTCCATAACTGATAAAAAATAGAAAAAAAACCACCCAGGGAACTCAACAGCAAGCTCAACAGACTTGAGTAAATCAGAACTGCTCATAAACTTTCTTCCAAATATTTGCTTAGCCATTAAGTCATCAATCTTTATCTATCCGCCTGAAAAAGAGCTGCATATTCCTCACTTGAGTCAGAACACACTAATTCATTCTATAATATATATATTTATGTAATGAATATAAAATTTATATAATTTACATTTAGAGATGAAAACATTTCTTCAAACATACGTAAGATTTGCTGAAAGTAACACTGCATGAAAAGCTATGTTTTTTTAAGTCAGGAGGGCCCTGTCAGACAGATCTGGTGGGAAGTTCAGAACTGAATTAAAAGTGTTATTTCTTGCATATCTATAATTAAAAAGAACCAGAAGGAAGTTTAAAGAAACCAATGAAACCTTTTTTTGCTGCAGCATTCTAACTGTAGCACCTGAAAATACTGCATACAGAGGAAAGAAACAAAGAAAATTAACCAGTAATGGAGAAAACCCATCACCTTCCTGGTCACTGCAAAGACAGAGGAAAGAAAAGAGTAAAACCAAGGAAAAACAAACTTCAGTTATAAGAAAACACCTCATATTTAATAAATGGTGTTATTAAGGGATATAAAACCAACATCATCTAGGGCATGAAAGTAGGTCTAATTGCTCGAGGTGTAATATAGAAGTTTTTTAATGGACCTAATGATTATGCTTTCAGCTGTAAAAGGAGAGGGGAAACCACAGCCCTGTTCCAGGCTACAATGTACTGGAAAAATGCATTTCCCTTCACACTCTGCTCCTGCTAAAACAGTGACTCATGAATTTTAAAAGCATTGTTTTCACTGCTTTTGTTATTATTTTATTAATACGTTTATTTTGGCCAGAGATACTAACACAAACAATATCAGGAGAGCAGGAATTGCCTTTATTCCAGCAGATCTGGTTTCCCTGATGAACGGCAGGCAGTAATCTCCCAGCTGTGGCCTGACGCAGGGTTCACCTTGCGTTACTAATTTATTGGTTTCCTCATCAGTGCAACTGGGAAACATGTAAATGCACACGCCCCAAACAGCGACCAGGAGTTAAGTTATTGCATTTCCTTCCCTCCAACAGCAGTTCATTTCAGGGGCAGAGGACCACGGATAAATAAAGAGACTGGATACATAATCTGTTGTGGTTATACGAAACAAGGATGTTGAAATGAAGGTTGCAACGTACTGGAAAAACACCATATGACTCTAATCAACAACTGAGCCTGCAAGCTACAATTAACCCATCAGCATTATTTATTCAATTTTATGCAACCTCTTGAGTCCCTGAATATTGGGCACCAGCTGAGAAACATGGCATGGAGAGGGTTTGACTGCCCGGGAGAGCAGAGCCAGCGGCTGGCAGCGGCCGAGGCTTCTTCTGTAATGTTTGACCCCAGGGCTCCCTGCTGCTCTGACAGCTGTAAATTTAGCAGAGAGGGCAGGACCAGCCCCAGGGTGAGAGACTCCAGACAGAGAGCTGGATACAAGACAGGCCACGGATCACTTTCCTCCTTCTCTGGTGTAGAGTGTCCGATCTCCTGCCTGGCGCGGGCCTGGGAGCACGTCCTGGATGCAGGAGGGAAGCAGGAGGTGGTGGGGTGTCGTGGTTTTGGGGGTGCCCCTGTGGGCACTGCCTACATCCATGTATAGGCCTTGGGGAGGTGCAGCCCCAGAGCCCACAGAAGCAGGTTCCCAAAACACAGTTCTTGCGGGGGGACACCACATGGGAGATCTCCCAGTTTAAGACCATGACAAGGGGATCTCCCAGTGTAAGACCACGATGTATTTTTAGCCATCCCCATTTCTCAGGGAGTATTTACACAGTGGGGCCTCCCCTGCTCTTGTGTCCACAGCAGAGGTAAAAAGCAGAAGGTTGAGAAACCACACACAGGAAGGGGAAGACCCAAGCCTGGCTCACAGCCAGAGCCCAGGTAACCTGGGCACACAGCGAGTGACACGGTTGTTTATCAAATTCTCCAAAGCTGGAGGGAAAAACACAGCACATGAATCAGCTACAGCTCTTCAACCTCCTTCACCTTGAGATGCGACAGGAAAAGAATCCAAATGCACCAGTATAAAACAACAGGGAGCAGAGGTAAATCATCAATCACTAAAAGACTGCCTAAAACACAGCTTTTCTTGGCATTATCCCAGGCGACTCCTAAG